TAAGAATAAGAAAATGAAGTTTATAGCCAAGTATTTATTTTATATTCATTCATTCTAACATATGTATCTTGATTATATTAAGATAGTTGAGCAACAGGGAACTAGTGTTGAACTGAATTTCAGACTGGATTCTCAATCTTTTTTTCCTACGTCTAATCTTCTGGGGTTTGGGAGGGAAATGGCAAATTTTAATAGTATTATCTGTTTCCTATTTAAGTTTTTTGAACCCAGCGGTGTATGTGGAATCAATAAAAACATTTAAATAATTTCAGTGCTGATATGAAAAAGCAGCCATTAGGGCTAAACTATTTTTTTTAGAGATTACAGGAAGTTGACAGCAATTAACATAAGATTACAATTTAGATTGGAATCATCTGTTAATGTGGAAGGCATTTTGGAACATTTTTTCTAAATACTGGGGGGAATGAGAGCTATGAGTCTCTTACACGTTAATAAAACGTGGTGACGTTCTGGTGCAAAATCTTCGAAGATGAAATTTGCTTTATGTCACTCCCAGCCTTGTTAGTTCTTATCGCAGGTTTTAGTCAGGTCTTTTTCTCATAATTTCTGCTGTTTCTCTGGATTTTCTACTGCATTCCAGCCCACAGGAAAGGATCGGGGCGTCGGGTTCAGGCCGATCGTCAGTTACACCCCCATGAATAAGCAAGTACCAGAGGTTTTGCATACTCGGTGTACACAGGATCGGGGCGCTTGGAACGACACCACCCTGCCAGAACGCACCTGCGCGGGGCACACTGGCACCGACAGGCACCTGGGCTCCAGTCCCCCCGACCCCCATATGCCCTCTCTCCTTCTCAATAGGGGTCCCCCCCAACTCCCATTCGCGTGGGCCCCCCCTCCACGCCCACCGCGCCTTCTGACCTGAGGGTGACCTGCGGGCTGGTGCTCCCGCGGCCCAGCGTCCTCACTCCTCCCTCGCCTCTCCCAGGCCGCTGCCATCCAGCAACTAGGGCACATTGCGACTCTGTCACGTCGTCAGGATCCAGTGCCCCACGCGGGATACAGGTGGAGCTCAGGGTCAAGATTCCGGAGAGGAAGTGCGGGGCAGTGCGGGGCGGTGGCTACAGCCACCACCTAGGGCGGGCGGCAGGGAGGAGGACCCGGGTTCGTGCGTCGAGGGGGTGCCTGAGTTCTTAGGGACCACGGGGGGGAAAGAACGAAAATCCTGCTGGGGGGCGGGGAGAACGCACTCTCAGGACTCTGACTGTCCCTGGCGATCTTGCATTAGGTGGAGCCCTCCAGTTCGACGTCGGCCGGCGGTGGCCAGATCCTGCCGGCCAGCGACCTTCCTAGGGAAACGGGAGCAGAGCCCAGGGCGAAAGGCTGGGGAACCGGCGGCGCTCGCGGGGCCAGGGGCTCCGGTCCGCTTCAGGCCTCGGTCTCTGCGAGCCCAGGGAGGCCCAGGCAGGAGAAAGTCGCGGGCGCCCGCGGGGTTGTGATTAAAAAACCAGACAGGGCTCGGTACCTCTGCCTCAGAAGGGTCCTCGGGAGAATTTCTTAATTTCTCTAAGTCACATATTTCTAACTGTAGAATGGGGATCCTGTAGTGTCATTGGGTGCTGGGAGGGTTAAAGGTGGAATCCAGTGTCTCGCTGAGAGCAGGAGATAAAGGTAAGCCGCTATTACCGTAATAGCGGACAGAACCAGAGAGAAAATCTCTCTAAGGTTCCCCTCTGCTCTCGCCCCAGCCTCTCTTCTCCGCTCGGCAGCCGCGGCCCCCTCCCCACCCCTCCCCCAGCAGCTACGGACACATCCAGCTTTCCCGCCTCAAGAAGATAAGCCCGGCCTGGCCATGGTGACTCTGGCTGAGCATCGACCCAGGTACCAAGAAGTTGCTGGTTCGTATTCCCTGTCAGGGCACATGCCCAGGTTGAGGACTGCACGCAGGAGGCAGCCGATCAGTGTTTTCTCTCGTCAATGTTTCTCTCTCTCTCTCCCTCTCCCTTCCTCTCTCTCTAAAATCAATAAAGGAAAATATATTTTTAAAAAACAGACGAGCCTGAGAGTGGAGAACGACTCCCAACCCTAGATCCCCTCGCACAATTCCGCAGCCACTTACCCTGCCCGCCAGGATTTTAAATGGACCCGCGCTCTTGCCCAAGATCGCGGCCAGAGTCCCGCACCAGGGTGGACGGAAGCTGGGGACTCAGAAGGTGCCCCGACGCCCCTGCGCAGAACCACCGGGATCCAGAGCATCGGCCTCGCGTTCTGCGCGGCCCAAACGCCCGCCTGGCCTGCTCACCGCGCGGGTCCCGACGCGCCCCGTCCACATTCCGCCGCGGACCATCTGCCTAGGGGGCTGCGGCGCCACCAACTACCGGGACGAGCCAGCCCGCCAGCGGTGAGGGCTCGGCGCGCTCCCGTAGTTATCAGCGGTTCGCGCGCGCCCAGCTCAAGGCCGGACCTCTTCACGTGGTCGCCGTGCCTCCAGCCAGGTGGACACGAAATGCCACGTTTGGTTGGAGAACAACGTTTAACTTACACTTCCAGGGAATCGATCTTTTTCCTTAAAATTCATTGTTCGATATAGTTTCATTAGGTAAAATTTAGGGGCTTGAGCCGGGTTCCGACCCGCAGTCACCCGTGTTGGTCTGGCCTGGGGCAAAGGCAGAGAAGAAAACTCGGCTCCCCTGCGGCGCGCGGGGTGCGGGGTGCGAGGCGCGGGGCGCCGGGCGCGCTGGCAGAACCGCGAGGGGTCGTACAGGGGCTCTACCTGGCGCTTGGACGATGTTGTTGACCTTTTCAAATAAATGAATGACAGTAGGCCCGGAGATGTTTCTGCCCAAAGAACAAGGAAGAGTTAGAATGTGAACCTGACTGTTCTTTACAGGAAAATAGGCACCCTTTACTCTTGGCTTGTTTCCAAACTCTTCGGCTGGCCACGACCTGCAGAATTTGCTAAAACGAACTCAAAGTTGAGGTGCTTAGGGTCAGACGGACTGTGTTCACGAATGGTCCGAGCCTAAGGAGGGGGTGTGGGTGAAGGAGGAGGGGTTTGGGAACCGGCCGCCTGAAGCCTGAGGATAGCGGCCTACAATAGGGGACTGGTGGTGCTTTCCATTCAGGCGAAGGTTGCAGGTGCAGCCCCGAGGGGAGAAGCCAGAGTTCTGCGTCTCAGCGGCTACTAAGGGAACTTTTGCTTGGGAACTTTCGAGATGTCCTAGAAACCGAACTATCAAGCCCTGAGGAGGTAGGGATTGCAGAACACACCAAAGAAGTTCTAAGTGATGGGGTGGAAATGAGAAGCAGGAGTAAAAATCGACCGGTTAAATGGCTGTAAAAAGACGTGTTTTCACCTGGCCGGTTTGGCTTAGTGGTTAGGGCGTCAGCCCGCAGACCGAAACATTGCGGGTTCGATTCCAGTTAAGGGTACCTATAACCTACCTGGTCGGAGTCAACCTCTTGACGTTTCTCTCTGTCTCTCTTTCTCCCTCCCTCACACTTTATCTGAAAATAAATGGGAAAATAACCTTGTTGAGGATTTTTTTTTTTTGAGTGTCTCTTTGGACACCCTCTCTCTTGTAATGAGAAATTCACTTCTGGGGCCACGGAACGACCTTCTTCGCACTCCCAGAGTGACTTTTTCCAAAGCCGCAAGGAAAGCAATTCTTTAGAATAAATAAATAAATAAAAAACAAAAATGAATCTGCTCAGGGATTGGAGAGCGGCAGGGTCTCTACAAATTAGAAATTTGCTCTCTCTGGCGGGAGTATTTCATGACAGGCATCTAGGTCTTCCTCTCACCCAGCCGCCTGAAGCCCACCCTGTGCAGTGAAATCTTTCTGCTTGCAGAGTCCTTTCAGAAATTAACTCTTTTCGAAATAAAAAGAAGTTTCTTTCTGTTGTAAAGAAAGAGAATAGGAGCCCCTAGAAGGCACTTGCCTAGAGAGAGAATTTTTAAAATTGTAAATGCCCAGGACATGAATGCTTATTTGATATATACCTTTCTTTGGGCCCTCGTTTTGAAAGTTTTGATGCTTGTTTTTCAAATGTACCCCCACCCCCACCGTTGGCCACTATCTTCCAAATTGATCTCAAATAGTCCTCCAAATTATTCAGGAGGAAAATTAACATCGTTAGGATGATAAAAACATAAATGGAAACTATGTTTAGATTTTCTCCAGTTCTTTTATTCTATAGGTTTTATATACATTAAATCCTGTATTTCAAAAGACAGGACTTTTCCACCTCAAATATTCGTAAGTTTTAAAAGCCATGTTGAAAATCGGTTGTTTCTGATGTCTATAATGAATAAGAATTGTAAAACTAAATTGTTTATTGGAAGGAAAGATCTAGTTTTAAAAGAAATTTCACTTAGAAAGTGAATAATACGTAATATAAAATAAACGATGTCGTGAAGAGACTCAGCACTTTATTTAGTATATATAGCTAGGTTTAATTTTAACACCTCTCCATGGAAGTTGGCACACCAAACACCCAGATCAGAAATAAATGCTCTGAAATTAAGATTCTATTTCTATTACACATCAATTTCAGGAAGACATAAAGGGCATGAGCACTTTGTACTGGACTTGGGAATAATACTTGCAGTTCCTAGGGCGTGAAGAAGGGGAAACACGTTGTGCGTTGAACATTGTATCTTTGTTTTTCTTTTCATACCAGAACAAAATGCCCCACTCACGTTCATAGTTCTTCTGGAAATGTGCAAATCAGAAAAGCCCTGGAAGCCACAAGTGAAGGCTAGAAAAGAAAAGGCGAGACCTGACGACATTGGAAATTTACGTTTAAGTTGTCTAAGAGGACAGTACCCAACTTTTCCTTTGTAAATATTTCGCAGCGAGCGGAAATTAGTGGTTGCTTTGCGGTGGGATGCTAATGCATACAGCTAGTCCCAGCTATGCAAGGTGGAGGGCGAAAGAACAGGCGGCGGAGAGAGCGGGACCCGAATCTCACTGTCCTCCAGTTTAGCACCAGGAATATCCGGAGGAGTTGGAGCCAGGGCAGGGGGTGGGTGCTTCTCAAAATGCTGGCAAGGCGCCCTCTCCGCCCGACTTCGGCCTGGAGCCCTCTGCTCCGGGCTGACACCCCAGCATCGCCGCGGCGGCGGACAGGTGCAGGCCCAGCAGCGCGCCTTTGATTGCACAGCCCTGGTGCTGCTGCTGCTGCTGCTGCTGCTGCTGCTGCTGCTGCTGCTGCTGCAACATGGTCCGGGCAGCAGATGCGGAAGCGGACACGTGGAGCAAGGGGGCAGCGGCCTGGGTGTGCAACAGGCATGACGGGCGCTGCATCAGGTGACAGTAGCCCCACGGGGTCGAGGACAGACTCTGTGCGGTCCCTGTACCCCCTCCTCGGACCCCTTGCATGATACTCTCGATGCTGAAGGAGGTGCATCCGCCTGCTGGCCGCGATGCCGGCCCCTTGCCCTCCTCCCAAGGCTGGGAGCCCAGTGAGGGCTGCAGCACCGGAAAGGCGGCGCTGGGGGTCACCAGGTCCGCGCCTTGCGCTTTCCTCGGCGCCTCGGAGTAAACAGGGGCGGACAGCAGCAGGTAGCGAAGGGGGTGAGGGTGCAGCAGAGCGCACGGGCGGCTGCCGGGGGCGGCAGAGGGGGAGGTCCCGGGGACAGGCTGCGGTGGGGCCGGGGACCCAAGCAGCAGGCCCGGGTAGGGGCCATGCAGGGTGGCAGGCGCTGCGGGGAGAGGGAAGGGATGGTGCAGGTGGGCTCCCGGGGGCGGGCGGTGGCGTTTGAAACGCTTCCTGCGCCGAAGGAAGCTGCCGTTGTCGAACATGTCCTGGGAGGCGGGGTCCAGGCTCCAGTAATTGCCCTTGCCCGGGTGGCCGGGCTCTCGGGGGATCTTGACGAAGCAGTCATTGAGCGAGAGGTTGTGGCGGATGCTGTTCTGCCAGGCCGGGAACTTGCGGCGGTAGTAGGGGAAGCGGCCGCTGATGAAGGCGCAGATGCCGCTGAGCGTGAGGCGCTTGTGCGGGCTCTGCAGGATGGCCATGGTGATGAGAGCAATGTAGGAGTAAGGGGGCTTCGCGGGCTGCAGGGCGTCCCCAGAGGCCGCCGCAGACCCGGCGGAGGACCTGAACTTGGTGCCAAACTGTGGGGAGTCACTCGGGCAGCCGCTGCTCTCAGTGCGCTCTCGGGACAGCGCGGCCGCGCCTTGCCGCGCCCCCTGCGGCTCCGGCAGGTGCAGCGGCTCTAGAAACCGCTGGCTCCCTTCGATCTCCACGTCGTCCTCTTCCTCCTCCTCGTCTTCATCTTCCTCCTCTCCCAGAATATCGATCTCCCCGTCTTCCCCTTCGGAGCCGCGGAGGCTGCGAGGCGGCGTGGAGAGAAGGTGCTCGGCGCTCGGCAAGTTCATGGAGGAGCAGGTCCTGCAGCCCCAGGGGAGTGGCGGCCGCTCACCTGTCTCGCAGTGGACTGGGCTGGATGCCAGGGTTACCGGTGTTCCAGGAGGCGAGAACGCTCTTGGTGACCCTTTTAGGTTTCTCCTTTACAACCCCCAAGTCCAGCAAAGATGCACTTTGCCTTTTATTAAAGCTTCTTGGAGTCCCTATGTTGTGGAGTCTCCCGCCCCTTTATAGCACTTCTTGTCCTACCTCAGAGCGTTCCCACGTCCTCGCCACTCAGTCCAATGGTGAGGGTCCTCCGCGCATTAGCCGACCGGGAAGAGCCTCCAGCCTCCTCCTCCTCTTTACACCCACCTGCCACCAAGGAGGATGCTTTACTCCTCAGGTTAGCCAGCCACTTTCGTCCAGAGTTGCATAAGCTCCGTTAATGCGCCCCCCCCCCCCCCCGCCCAACACACACACCTCGACCTACTCCATCCCCCTGTTAATGCGCTTTTAAAACTGCGAAAATAGCCCTTGCCTAGTGGCTCGGTTGATTGGAGCGCTGTCCCATCCCTATACCAAAAGGTTGCAGGTTCGATTCCGATTCCGGGTCAGGGCACATACCTAGGTTGCGCCTGGGTGTGAGCAGGAGGCAACTGATCAATGTTTCTTTCTTATACCGATGTTTCTGTCTCTCTCAAAAATCAATAAAAACATATTGAATGAAGATTAAAAATATAAATACGTTAATTAAATAAAACTGTGCAACAATCTAGGACCTCTCACTGGAGGATAGCACAGGGAGGGGCACTGAAACGTAGAGGGTGTTTGTCAAAGAATGTGTAACAGTAAAATTATGTTTGCGTGTTGCATAGCTGGCTCATCACCCATTTTCATTGGTGGATTCTGTCCTTATTCAAAATGATGAGCTGAAATATTTTAAATATTCTGACTATATCCCCAGAGCTCAGTAGGTTGTGAAGGGCTGTTGCACCCCCACACCAGCTCCCCAAAATGTTCTCCCAGACTCAACTTTCCAGAAAAGGCTGAAATGTCTCAGCATTAAATTGTGGAGGTTCAGGGTGGGGGGAAGCAGGAGGGCTAGAAAGAAGTCCCCTTCAGCAGTGATTCTCCAACTTCTTTGAACATTTAACCACAGTATGAAATGCATCTTACAGCACAACCGTGCCTATACAGACTTCTGTAACTAAAATAGGTTTCATAAAACAACCAAGCAAATTGATTTTGCCACATACTAACCAGTACAGACCTAATTTTCACAACATGGCCCCACAACTTCAAGAGAGGCATCCAGGATGTAAGGGGCTCCTCTTTCCCTCACCCTCCTTCCTTCTTTCAGAAAAACAAAAAACCACATAAATTACTTTTATTCTAATAGATAACGAAACAAGTGAGGCAGGGAGAGGCCGCAGTTTCAGTCACTGGATTGTCATTCATTATCCACATGGGAGAGGAGCAATATGAGAGGGAAGCTCCATTTAACTCCACATCCTTGGAGGTAACAAGATTTTTAGACGGCTACATTCAAATCAACTCAGAGAGTAAATAGAAGTCCAGTAGATAGAACTCAATGTGTTATATAAATAGGGATCTTATGGTAAAGTTCTAAGCCACAGTATATATTTATAACTTAAAACTCACCTACTTATAAAAAGAATTTGAGGTGGCATCTAATGAAATTGCAGCATAAAAGAATATTGTGTTAGGCCATTGATTGTCACATAGTAAATCTTCCATTAGTGTTTGTTTCAGAGAGAAGTCAGAAGCCAGCTGAAAGGTCAAAATGTAATTTAAAAGTAGCTAGTGCCTTTAGGATAAAATTTGGAACACAGATTTCCTATTCCTGAGATATTTATCCTGTAAGGCTTCCCAGTTATATGTTGTTTGAAGTAGAACAAATAACAGATTTTAAGCCTAATAGATTTGTTTGAATCCCAAATTAACCAATTACTACTTGTGTGATCCACTAAATTAAACTCTGGAGGGCAGAACAGGTGGCTTATTCAACCTTAGATTCCCAGAGGCCCACCTCACCACCCCATGCAGGCAAGGCATAGTTCTTCCATCTGCATGGAAATCAGGATTACCTGGGAAAGGGAGTACTGTTCATTTTCTTAGAGTCACCTTCTATTGGGATTAGGGTTATTTAAAAATGAAAGGAGAAAAGGAGGAATACACTCAGAAAAACAAACACCCCCCCCCACACACACACACACACGCATTGCTGGAGGGGGGTATGTCAAAGGGCACACAGGCGACAACTGAAAAAGCTCCCAATGGCCAAAGCTGGGACAATTTGAGCAACAAAATGAAGTCGTATTGGATTATAACCGAAAGTATGAAAAAGATATCCATGTGTCCACACTGATAAAAATAAAGGATTGAGTTAATAACATGAGGGGAGGCAAATCTCCCTTGCAGAAAAATTCCAAATAAATTAGGTAGATACTCAGTCCTTGGGGAAGTATAACTCCCCATTCCTTTATTCACACAGCACACAGTGACACCCCCCCCCCCCCGGACATACAGTATGTTCAGGGGTGGGAAGAGTAACTTACCTGTACAGCGGGAAAACCTGACAAACACTACTTCAGCCAGATGTTTGTGTGATCAGTGTCAACAAAAACACACATAAATCATGTTGATAGTATATCCCCTTGATATGTGATGAAAATGGCACTCTGTGATCTTCCTCCCCCAGACCCCAACCTAATCACGAGAAAAACACAAATTCCAAAAGCGGAGCTTCCTGTGTTCCTGACCAGTACTTCTCAAAACTATCAATGTCACCAAAATAAGTCAAGTCTTATTTTGCAACTCAACTATTAGTCTTAGATCTTTCCATGACAGTATCTAAGAAACTGTCACAGTCAAGAAGAGTCTAAGAAGACATGGTTGGTTACTAAATGTAGCATGAAATTCTGGATAGGATCCTGGAAAAGAAAAACATTAGGTGAAATATAATGATATTTGAATAAACTGTGGACTTCAGTTAGTAATATTGTATCAATAATATTGGTTCATGAATGTTACAAATGTACCACACCATTACTGTGTGTGTGTGTGTGTGTGTGTGTGTGTGTGTGTTGGGGTGGGGGTGATATATGGGAACTCTCTTTTATTATCTGCTCAATTTTTCTGTAAATCTAAAATTATTATGAAAAATACATTCAATTAATTAAAAAAAAATTAAACATAGAGAAAAAGGACATAATAGCCAAAATGTAAAAATTTAAATGTCCATCAACTGAGGACTAGATAAACAAAACGTTGTATATAAATAAAATATTATTTAGCAATTAAAAGGAACAAAGTGCTGATACATGCTACAACATAATGAATCATGGAAACATTACAGTACATGAAAAGAGTCCAGAAAGGAACATCTGTAGAGACAAAGTAGAGTAGTACTTGCTGGGGGCTAAGAGCAGGGGAAGACAGGGAATGACTGTTAATGGATACAGGGTTTCTTTTAGGAGTGAGGTAATTTAATTACAATGTATAAATTATATCTAAATTTGTTATACAAAATATAGCAACATAACAAAGAGTTGTATCAGTGAAAACTAAATTGAATGTTTTGGAAAGACTCCGTTATGGCATGTCACCCTTATACTTTTTTTTTTAATCCTCACCCGGGAATACTTTTTTTCCATTTAATCTCAGATAGAGTGGGAGGGAGGAAGGGAGGGAGAGAGAGACACACACACAACTACTGGTTGCCTCCCGCAGGACCCCAACCAGGGCCTGGATGAACTGCAACCCAGGTACATGCCTTTGACTGGAATCAAACCCACGACTCTTTGATCTGTCAGCCCACACTCTAACCGCTGAGCCAAACCAGCCAGCGCAAGGCATATTACTCTTTAAAAAAAAGAAAGAGCCCTGGCCGGTTTGGCTCAGCGGCTGGAGCGTCGGCCTGCGGTACAGAGAGACCCGGGTTCGGTTCCCACTAAGGGCACGTACCTCTGTTGCAGTTTGTCCCTTCACATCGATGCTTCTCTCTCTCTCTTCCTCTCTCTTCCTCTCTCTCCCTCTCGCTCTATCTGAACAAAAAATGGAAAAATGTCCTCGGTTGAGGATTAAGAAAATAAATAAAAATAAAAATAAAAAAAAGAAACTCTTCCTGTCCAGTCCCATCAATTTTTCAGTGTTGCCTTAAGAATCAAAAACTTTACATTGCTGTTCCTACAACATTTAACATGGAACCTTAGTGCATAATGGGCACTCAGTAGTATTTGGTGATTATTTCTTTTACAGTGCTGAATAGGTTTTATTCTGAATAAACCTATCGAGCTCACAAAACACTGTCCTAGTTTGAAAATCCTTTCTAAAATAATCTATAGGAAAGATGATGATGTCTGATTTCTCTCTGAAAATTAAAGGCAATTTGGTCATTTAAAAGGTAAAGTTGACTGCAATATTAAGACTATGAGAAAAAAAATCTAATGTATCTCTGTCATCCAAGTAAGTCAACTTGCTAGACAGTCAAAGGTAGAATTCATTTCTTTCAATACTCTGCTTCCACAATGTACGGCATTTCTAGAACTAGGAAAGTCATTTTAAAGCAATAAAAAAAATAGTTTTTCCCACCTACACTAGTAATCCAAAGGAAATAATTACTCAATTTGTAGCAAGCAAGCAAGCCCATAAATGTTTAAAAGCCTGTTAGGTTTATTTTTTTATAAATCCCCTCCAACGTCAGGATCTAGGAATTATAGACCCTTTCAATCACCTGATCGTCCCTCACACCCTCTGCTGACCCTCCCTACAGCGATCTTAAACTCAGTCAACCAATGTTCTTGCCACTTTCACTAAAAGCTGGGAAGAGCCTATGGAATAACCCTTTGTTTTAAGGTGTACAAAAGCTTTAATTTTTTTTTTTTTTTTAAATTGGGTCTTGCTGGAAAAGGGGATTCACTTTTAGTGAGACTCTATCCATAGTGCTTTCAATTTAATTCCTAGAACAACCTATTAGGAGCAACAAGTCGGCCCCAGCTCAGGACTCCAATTCTACCTCAGAGCCTGGCTTTTTAACCTTCCCCCACTCTTTTGTCTTCTTCTTCCTGGTCTTCAACATGCTATACTCCTTCCCATCTGAGTCTCTGCAAACTCGCTCCCTCAGAGTGGAACCTTCTCCCTGACTTTGTACGAACAACTCCTTTAAATTACATTCTCAACTTAAAAGCCATGTCTCCTCAGAGAGCCTTTCCATGACCACTCAATCTAAAGTCAATCTCTCTTTTTATCTACCATCTTAAGGCTACCTCATATTTTCTTCTGTGTGCCTCCACCAGAACATCAGCACGGAGAACCTGGCCTTTATCTGTCAGAAGCTGTTTCAGCACTAATATCTGGGCAAACTGGAAGCTCTCAAATAAAAATTTTTTTAAATGAATGTATTCTATGAGTATCTATGCAGCAGTGAAAGAATAAGACATTTATATACACTGTCATGGAAAGATCTAAGACTAATAGTTGAGTTGCATTACAATAGTTGTTTTATTTATACATTCACATTATAAAAATAAAACCTTTCTTTGAGGATATTTATGACAAGTTTGTAAGTGTGAAGAAGTAGTTTAAATTAAAACTTTAATCACTGGAAAATAACTCACTTTGGGAAACAACATAAACCATAATGTGTGTATAAGTGAAGAGACATCTAAAAGAATAGACATTAGCCCTGGTCGGTTTGGCTCAGCGGTTGGAGCGTCGGCCTGCGGTACAGAGAGACCCGGGTTCGGTTCCCGCTAAGGGCGCGTACCTCGGTTGCAGTTTGTCCCCGGCCCTGGTTGGTCATGCGGGTGGCAGCCACTCGATGTGTCCCTTCACATCGATGTTTCTCTCTCTCTCTCTCTTCCTCTCTCTCCCTCCTGCTCTATCTGAACAAAAAATGGAAAAATGTCCTCGGGTGAGGATAAAAAAATTAAATAAATAAATAAAAGAATAGACATTAAACTGACAATACTGTTTACCCTAAGTGATGGTGATGAAGGAGAAAGATCAGGAGAGACTGACTTCCTCTGTAATGTCTGCATTTTTACAACACAAAAGAATTCATGCAATATTTACATAATGAAAAACATTTTTTAAAATGTTTATTTATTTTTGTTACAGATGTTTCTCCTTTTCCCCATCATACTGAAAAACATTTAAAGATTAATCAATTTTAAAGAAAATAATTATGAGTTTTATATAGATTTTTAAGAGTATAGACTATTATTACTTCAAGCATTTCTTCCACAGTAGGACAATTAATTATAAATAAGCCCTTTGTGGTCTAGAAAATATGAATCCAGATGAATTATTTGTCAAAGAACACAATGAAGTATGATTATGATACATAAATTATAAAACACATTTAAACTGTTAGGAAGAAGATACACTTACCTAGGTTCTGCTGAGTGTCAGGAGCTGAGGTGAGTGCATTTCAAACCTATTTAATCTGCACAACCACCTTGAATGGTTGATATTATCACTGTCCACTGTATAAATATGGAAACTAATCTCAGAGAAAATACTTTGCCCAAGATTACACAGCCAAGAAACAGCAGAGCTGGAAATAGAGCCCAGGTCTGACTCAAATATCATCTGACTTTCTACTGGGCAACGTGCTGCCACAAAATATGGGTAGTTTTCTCAACCACGAATTCATAGAATGGATTCGGGGGCAAATGGATGAACACAGAGGAGTTACATATAAGACACAGAATACATGGGAAGGGACATAGATAATCTAATCAATTGGAAAGGAGGAAGGAAGGGAGGAAGGGAGGAGAGACACATCTATTGGTTGCCTCCCGCATGACCCCCACCGGGGCAGGAGATCAAACCTGCAACCAAGGTACACGCCCTTGACTGGGAATCGAACCTGTGACCCTTTGGTCCATGGGCCCACGCTCTAACTGCTGAGCAAAGGCCACAGGGCCACAGATGTAATTCTTTTATTTAAAATTCTAGAACAATTCAAAACGTCATTTTGATAGCCTCTGAAATTTAACAACTATTACTTTGGGAAAGCTCTTCCTGAAATTCCATCTACTGCTATTCCCTTACAATTTGAATACTGTTAACACTGACCTGGCATTTAATAGGAACAAGAGAAAAGTAGAGTGTTGAATTACCACGTTATCTGCAGTTATATCTGAAGGTTTGTACCTTGTTGCTTTTTAGCATAAAATTAAAAAAAATTTTTTTTTTTTTTTAATCCTCACACGAGGACATTTTTCCATTTTTTTGTTCAGATAGAGTGGGAGGGAGAGAGAGGAAGAGAGAGAGAGAGAGAAACATCAATGTGAAAGGGACACATCGAGTGGCTGCCACCCACACGACCAACCAGGGCCGGGGACAAACTGCAACAGAGGTACGTGCCCTTAGGGGGAACTGAACCCGGGTCTCTCTGGACCGCAGGCCGACACTCTAACCGCTGAGCCAAACTGGCCAGGACTTAAAGAAAAAAAAATACACACAAGACAAATGTAATACCAGGAGTAAAATTTACTTAAAATTAAAAGCTCTACAATAAGAATCTTCTAAATATATTACAAAGTGCATGGCTGAAGTTTTATTCCACCTTCAGTAAAGCTTAGAATTGACTAAAAATAAGAGATGGTTCCAATTAATTTCATTCAGATTTCTTCCACCTGTAAGTCACTAGCCACAACAAACCTTTTATTTCATTTAATAAAAATGGTAACTTTATTTGCTTTAAATTTTTTTGTTAATAAAACTTTATGCAATAAGCTGAAGTTCTAAAGGAAAATGACACTGTTGAAGTAAGTTTTGTCATCATTATTATAAACAACTTCCATGGATGAGAAGCTCAGCATATGTCAACTCCAAAGCCAATTCTGAAAGAAATTTTTGTGAAACATCTATTAAAAACACACTTCAGAGGATTCTATACTTTATTGTAAAAATGTCAAATGTTTTACATTACTGCTTTACTATATCTTATAACATACACTGGAATTCATAACGGAAGTAATTCAAGGAACAGATGCTTGAAATACACCCAGTAGGAAACTTATTCCTGATATTATCATTCAATCCTTTCAATGAGAAATTCTTCTGCTATTACAGACAAACTTGATCTTCTTTAAAATATGCTGTCCATCGCCTTTCTGTTTCTGTCACAGTAGCTATAAATAGCTGTTTAAGGATATCCTTATCTAAATTTCTACCTGCAAAGAGAACCAAATATGGTGTTATTATATTATGTTTATTAAAATGACAGTTTAACTATCAATTCCTGATCATCAACTGCTTGACGATCTTCAGAAATTTAAAAACAATAGTAATTGGGTGACTCCTTCCTTAACTTTCTAGTAAAATCGCTCAGAACCCAACCGACACTTGGATTAATCACTTTTCTAAAGTTGTTTGAAGAGTAAAAGGTCTAGCAAGTTCTTATGAATGTTATAACATAAGTAAGACAAATATATTAACCACAAGTTTACTTAGGTTTACAAAAGGGCTCCTGATTGGTTCATACTGCTTAAGTAGCACATCATACACTCCTTTCAAATATATTTTCCACTTTGCTTTAGAAATTTAATTGCTTGTAACTCACCAAAATTGTAACTCACCAATAAGAACCAATCGGTTTGTTCTCTCAGCGTCATCTCTCCAGCTCACTGGAGTCTCCTCCAGATCATATAGCTCATAAACACCTTGGACAATCACTTGTTGTGGTTTGTCTTTGATTGACACCAGCCCCTGCTCAGAAGAGAATGATCAGTCAGCCTCAATGTGAATTGAAAAGCAGAAATCAAGTATTGATGTTAATAGATTAATTTTTCCTATTCCTTTTCAAACTACAAACTCATAAAAAGATGCTGTTAAGCCCTAACCAGTTTGGCTCAGCGATTAGAGTGTCAGCCCAAGGACCAAAGAGTCTCGGGTTCAATTCCAACCAAGAGCATGTACCTCAGTTGCAGTTTGTCCCCAGCCCTGGTCAGGGTCATGTGGGAGGTAATCAATTGATGTCTCTCTCACGTCAATGTTTCTCCCCCCCACACCCCTGCTCCTTCCCTCCCACTCTATCTGAAGATAAATGGGGAAAAAAAATATCCTCAGGTGAAAATTTTTTAAAAAGATGCTGTCAAAATTACTTCCAGTTATTTGCACATTAAAGAAATCATTTCTTGCCCTGGCCGATTTGGCTAGTGGTTGGAGCATTGGCCTGTGGACCAGAGAGTCCCGGGTTCGGTTCCCACCAGGGGCATGTACCAAAAAAAAAAAAAAAAAAAAAGAAATCGTTTCTTAAAGCCTCCAAGTTTTAAAAAAGTTTCTGTGGCCCTGGCCAGTTTGGCTCAGCAGTTAGAGTGTCGGCCGGCGGTCCAGAGAGACCCAGGTTCGGTTCCCGCTAAGGGCACATACCTCGGTTGCAGTTTGTCTCCAGCCCTGGTTAGGGCATGCGGGTGGCAACCACTCGATGTGTCCCTTTCACATCGATGTTTCTCTCTCTCTCTCTCTCTCTCCCTCCCACTCTATCTGAACAAAATATGGAAAAATGTACTCGGCTGAGGATGAAAAAAAAAATTTAAAAAGTTTCTGTGCACACTAAATTTTTTCTAATGACAAAATTAACATATGTATTAGGATGTTCCTTCAGTGTTAGCACAAGAAAAAGCTGAAACAAAATGATAAACCATAATGTATCAGATTCTACTGATTCTATTTTTAAGAATTTTATTCTTTAATTAAAAAAATGTTTTTTTCCTCTATTGATTTCAGAGAGAGAGGAATTAAGAGGGAGAGGGAGGTAGAAACATCAATGAAAGAGAACATCGACTGGCCAGCTCCTGCATGCCCCCAACTGGGGATTAGGCCTACAACCTGGGCATGTGTCCTGATCAGGAATCGAACCTGTGACCTCCTAGTGCATGGGTGGATGTTCAACCACTGAGCCACACCGTCCAGACAAAAATTTTATTCTTGTTTCATAGTTTAAGTGGTAAATTTTGAGAAGGTAAAAGATAATAAAATATAGAAAAACTATTATATTTATCTGAATAAAAGTTTATTTTATATTGATTTGCAGAAATGAGGAACAAAATATCTAATAAACTGGCTCCTATGGAGAGGAAATAATTTCTCGGAAATATTTGTTATAAAATTTACATATATATATTGAGAATAGTAAAAGACAAATCATAGATAAGTCATTCCCACCACACAATTTTTGTGTATTTTTGGTGTATTTATATTTTTTTAGTGTGTATATTATTCCAGTTTTTCTTTGCCTGTGCCCAGTTGTTTTCTGGTTCGTTTCCCCAGTTTTACTGAGATATAATTGACATATAGCATTGCAGTAATTTAAGGTGTAAAACATAATATGATTTCATTGTTTTCTGCTTTTTGAATTTGAATATGTAATAACAAACGCCTTAGAAAGAATTACCTAAGCATCAATTTGTAACACGACTTTGAAACATTAGCTGTTACTAGAGTTAACATTTTCAACAAGCTGATTATAGTGGACTACTATTTATAACAAGAAAGAGAAGGAAATCAATGAAGATAAACTCTGTGTTGCTCCAAGTCCCTTAGTACTACTGTGATGAGAGGAAGGCCAACAGCAGAACCAAAGAGGACAAATGTAGAAAAACTGTCATACGTGTAAGGACAGACTCCAACCTGAGACGAGGCAGAGTGAGCCACCAAACTCTGTGTGGAGGTCCTGGTGGCAGCATTAGTGCACCACCATAATGGCCACTTTCCTAGGTACCACACCCTATGCAGTACTAGGTGACAAAGCAGTTACTGAATGAAAGATGATCTGCCACTAGGATCATTGAATGTAGATGGTGCTACAATCACAAAACAGCAGCTTAATTGGGTCGGAAGAATATGGGATTCACCTCTGTTGCTCTGTAGCACCAATCCCAGGAAGGGCCAGCACAAGGAGTGAAGAAATCTCAACCTAAATAGTTTCTCCATAGTTTCCACCTTTGTCATTCTAGTGGCCCCAGGAAGTCAGTCCCTAATTGGAGAATCTAGTTATTTACAGTAATAATAATAATAAACAATAATAATAAAAAGTTTACCCACTTCTTGCAACATGGAAGAGACACTCAACTGCTGATGGGTTAAGCACACAACCTAGAACCAATGACCCCTAAAAAAAACACCTTTCGTGACATAAATACACAAATGTCAAGTAATAAGAATAGGTTTCCAAACACAGGGCAAGATTCTCCTAGTGTCTTATAATTCTGCTTATAGTATGACAAATATTTAGTGTCTGCTAGAAGCATCAAGAAGCATAAGGTTCCGCTGCAGCAAGATTTCTACTATTATTTCTCTGTTAATGAAGCTCTCTTGGAAAAAATAAACATAGGAAAATGTTCTGTTTTCTCTAACTGTCTAAGCTGTGTACCAAGCGGAGGGGAGTTTCAACAGGTAAAGCTCATCAGCCAGATAACTGCTCAGAACTCCTGGGAGTAGAGAGCATAGGGTAACATTTCAAAGCACACAGGTTGTTTTAGCTGCAACACTAAACGAAGCTGTGCAAATAAAGATACTTTATGCAGTGACTGCCAAAGCTTTTCAACTATGGAAACAAGGAAAAATTAAAATAGACAAAGGTTATTTGTACTAAAACCAGTGCTTCTGTTTAAAACCAAATATGGTTTTATATAACAGCCAAGAAAAGGACAAATGATACCGCACCTTCAGTCGTATGACTTCCATGAAGTCGTCGTCCTTGTTCCTCACATTCTTTTCCCACAGAAGATTCTGTACCAAGTCACATATATTAATAAGACCAACCACTGTTAACAGTAACAACGATGTAACAATACAGTTGATAAACCATTAATCAGTTAACTATTGCATTCACCTGAATAAATACATTTAGACTTTCTTCCTTTGCATTTCCCGGTACTTCAAATGTGACTGTAATAATACTCTGTAAAGCAAGAGAGAAAATCAATAATGATTTTTTTAATAGTAAAAAGTGATTTAAATCACCAGTTTTAAGATGAAAAGAAACACAATCATAGAAATTTTGTTGCCTAACCATACATATTGCATATAACTTTTTCATTATTATTTGCTGACTTCTGGTATCAGCAACTCCATTTTCTATATTCTGGCAGCTGATCAATGGTTTAGCATTTATACAGAGAAACAGTCATAAAAGGGTATACTCATCATTTAATTCATTCTTTCCAGGATTCTCAGTGCTAAAAGAAAAGGTAAGAGGTATATATAGTTCATCAATTTTAAGTATTGAGCCAGGTACTTTTGCCTGGGTCACTTCACTTTATCTGTCATTTATGTGTGACAACAATCCTATGGAATAAAGAGAATTATTTCCATTTTATAAACGGGGGGAAATGAGGCTCAGAAAAAACAAACTATCTGGAGCCAGGTGTAAAACTCAAAAGCACGTGTTTAATTTTGTTCTCTGGAAAAAAATAAAGGAAAGGTTTGGTTTATCTCTGACCAAGCATGCATCAAGGGGAGAATTCCTAGAGATGAGAATGAATATTATGTCACCGTTGGTTTTAGAAGATGACATCATCATTTATAGCATGTTAACTTTGAGATTTATTTTTCCTCCTGACTTGATAAAGGTCCTGCTTGGTCTCCTGACTCCACACTCCAATCCAGCTTACCTGACACTGTCCGACAGCACAGCATGAGTTCTCTTTGCCTAGCAAACCAAAGCCAATACCAGAATCCCAACACCAAGCATTCACTAAGCCTTCTGCACTGGAATTCTGTTTTTCTAGAACATTTCCCACTTTTAAACATCTAGATTGCTCTTTCCCTTACTCTTCCAGTCAAATGTAAATCTACCATTTAAGGGTTACTTTGGTATAAAATCAGAACAGCAGTTAGTTCTTTGGGAGGAGGAGGGTTGCTGACTGGGAAGAGGCACAGGGGAACGCTCTTAACGGTTTTGGACATCCTCTATATCTTGATCTGAGTGGAAACTGTAGGGATATGTGTTCACATACACATATAGACATATATATAGGCACAAATATATGTGGAGATACTTGTATACAAATATATGTGGAGATACTTGTATACTTTATATATAAAAAAGTCTTTTACGATCTACTAAACCAAATGATACTATTGGAGCTTCTCAGTCCCATAGCCCTATGTCTGCAAGATTAGATTCTATTTTATGTTCAAGTATCTAAAGCAGAAAAATGCATCAGAATCTCCTGAAGAGCTTTAAAAATAAATAGACACGCCCTAGTTACTGATGAAATGACACAATATCTGGGATTTGCTTTAATACACTCTAGCAAGGGTGAGGGGTACGTGCAGGTTCATTATACTAGTTTAGTTTTATGTATGCTTGAACTTTTCTATTTAAAAAAAAAAAAAGTTTAAATAATCCTTCAGCAAAAGAAATGTTGGGAAGATAGATGAAATAAAATCAGCAAGATGTTGACGGCTATTGCAGCTGGGTCACGTACATGAAGGGTTCATTTTACTATTCTTTCCACTTTTGCCTATCTTTGAAATTTTTCAAATACTCAAGGCCCATTTCTGGAGATATGAGAGGTGGCAACAACTGAGCATTCAAGTCATTTTTAAAAGCTCCACAACTGATTCTGATGCACACCCCCCATTCGAGAATCACAGCTTTGCATTCTTTTAACAAATATTCACTAAGCACCCAGCATACACCTAGCAATAAGGAATTTACATTTGAGGAATTTAGAAACTATTGCAAGGGAAAAAGCATTTCAATCCAAACTATAAGGCATTATGAATGCCATGATAAAGGTATATTCAAGATACTATGAATGCAGATACTTGCATTATAAAAATTCTTGAAAATGAAGACTACATCTTTTAATTCTTATAACTCCCACTATGATGTCCTTCACCCAGAAAGTCATGAAGAATGTAATTCAAGTTCACTTTATAACTAATAATAATATTGTAAACAGTAGTTTTCCCCCAAAATTCTACCACCAGGGACTTATATGTCTCTCATTCACTAGTTTAAAGATAAGTGAAAATAAATATTCTATTAAGTTTCTCAGAGAAAAGTGCCATAAACATGGTAGTATAGTTCTCCAGAAATATGAGCCAAAATGGAGACAAATGGACAAGTGGCTGCTGTAACCTTGGCCCTATTACAATTAATAAGGATTCAAAAAATGAGTGACAGTTTCAAGACACAGGAGAGAAAACGAGGTATAATGCTCACCCACACACCCCCTTCCTTTCAATGTGTTTAAATGGAACAAAGAAGTTACCCTAAAGTTCTACTATCTAAACTTGCTTAAAAGAAAGATGTGTATAGTGAAAATTTATTTTGTTTGTTCCTAGCATCTTCAATGTTTACCCCAGGAATTAGAGTTTTAGAGCATGAAAAACACCTTAAGTAGTTTAAATGTACTGTGCTATCTGAAACGCAAAGTCAATTCCTATAAAAATAAGCCATGGATGCTTATACCAGTTCCATACAATTTCCTTTATCAGTTCAATATAGTTAAAAAATAGGCTGCATATAGAACCCCCACGCTGCTTTTGAGCATTGATTCCTTTTAGAAAAACTGAGTGACCTATAGAATGGAAAAGTTAGAAAGCATGATTTTCTAAACTAATATTCTAAAGAACTCCAATTTAATGAATTCCTATTATGCTTTAAGAAGCGGAATTAGCCCTGGTCGGTTTGGCTCAATGGTTGGAGTGCTGGCCTGTGGACCAGAGAATTCTGGGTTCAGTTCCCACTAGGGGCACATACCAAAAAAAAAAAAAAAAAAGGTGAAATAAGATGACCTCAAAACCATTCAAATTCTGAAAACTATCAACACAGTTCAAAAATATTTTAGAAGGAGCTCTAATTAAACAGTCCTAAATAGAACCAATTTAGTTAAAGAGATACTTTAAAAATATTTTTAAGATTTTTTTTCTTTTACCTGATCAAGGTGAGGTTGTATTGTTGGCAATTGTTGAAGTTTTTTCTGCAAACTAAGAACAATTGATTATAAATTCAGAGATAAATACATTTTTATTTAACCTTGTATATTTCTTAGTAATACATAAGGAAAATAATATCCACAGCTGGCCCTGGCTGGTTTAGCTCAGTGGTTAGAGCATCAGCCCATGGACCAGAGAGTCCCAGGTTCAGTTCCTGCTAAGGGCACATACCTTGGTTGCAGTCTGTCCCCGGCCCTGTTGGGGTCGTGTGGGTGGCAACCAAGTCGATGTGTCTCTCTCACTGTCTCTCTCAAGTCAATGTTTCTCTCTCTCTCTCTTCCTCCTTCTCTCCCTCCTGCTGTATATGAAGATAAATGCAAAAATGTCCTCGGGTGAGGATAAAAAAAAAAGAATATCCATAGTTGAATCTATTACATAATTTACATGTTGCTCACATATTCTAATAAAAAAAAGCTGGCTGATTATTTGAAAACTTTTCTTAAAAATGTATACAAATTCACATACATAAATACAATATAAAAAAAAACTAATCTTTAGTAACACTATTTTGTGTGGTTAAATATGTCAGTAGATTTCTTTTTAATCCCAAAAGATCTAATACAGGTCTAAAAAAATATACATAAGCAGCTTTACCATTGCTCAAAATTTCATCAGCTCCCCCACCCCATGCTTCCTAATATGAAAATTTTGGTACCTAAAGAAAGTTAGAAGAATAAATTCTCTTTTATAAATGTTTTCCCTTGAGCATACCTACTTAGTAAAAAAAAAATAAACAGTACCCATAAATATAAGCCTTCTATATAGTCGGTTACTGGCAATAAACAAAAAAGCACTGTTCTGATATGAAAAGAATGAGAAGATCAATATTGGCATAACAAATTATATCTACAACAACTGTAGCATATATTTAGATGGGGGTAAGCAGATGTTTTGTCTTGAAGATCAGTGAGGAGTAAATTAGTAACAGCAAGTTTAGGACAGAGAAAGGCTTGTAAGAACTGTTGGAGGTGCCCTGCCCAGTTTGGCTCAGTGGTTGAGTGTCGGTCAGCCTGCAGACCAGAGTACCAGGTTCGGTTCCACAAAAAAACAAAAAGAAAAAAAAACACAAAACACTGTTGGAGGGAATGAGTCTCGGGGAGGGCGGGGGGGTAGTGTCTTAGTAGGGAAAGTGTCAAATTAAACCTTCCCAGCTGTTTGCTCAGGAATGGATTCTCCTGTTTAACAACTAAGCACAATGAAAAGTATGCAAAGGCCTTACCCATAGCAGGAGCACCACATTCAACAGCTACTTCTTTAAGGGTCACTAATGCATAATAACTGTTCTTAAGCAAGTCATATGCCCTTTCCCTACATTCAATGTTTAATGTTGTTGGATAATGACTGCCTAAAACTTCCATAGAAAAGGAAAATGTTTTCTTCTACCCTCTTCAGGCCCCTGGTTGGGTCTAAAAATTAGACTAACAAAGACAGAGCAGCAGGAGAAAAGCACGATTACTTAAGTTTTACATGACACAGGAGCCTTCTTATGGAAATGAAGACCCAAATAAATGGTTGGGGCTGAGTGGTTTTATGCTAAGTTTGATGAAGAGTGAAAAGTCATGGGAAGATAGGACAGGGCAGAGTATGAGCCAAGTGCAGTAAATTGAGGGAAACTCAGTAGGCCTGATCCTTCAGATTTCTCTGTGTGTCCATTTGTCTTCTGAGATAAGGATGCTCCTTTCCTCCAGGTATAGGTAGGAAACCTCTTACATGAGGGTTTTATTAATTCATCTACTTCAGAGGAAATAGAAGAAAACATTTTCAAATCATGTCTGATAGGAGTTAATAACTAGAATATACAAAAACTCCTACAATTCAGCCACAACAAAATCAAATAACCTGATTTAAAAATGGACAAAGTACTTAAATAGACACCTCTCCAAAGATGATAAGCAAATGGCCAACAAGCACGTTGAAATGGTGCTCAACACCTCTAATCATCAGAGAAATGTTAATTAAAACCACAAAGAGCTATCATCTCATTCTGAGTAGGACAGCTACTACCATAACCAACAGAAAATTGGCAAGATGTAGAGAAATTAAAACCCTTGTGCACTGTTGGTGGGAATGTAAAATGGTTCAGCTGCTATGAAAAACAGTATGATAGTTCCTCAAAAAACTGAAAGTAGAAACACTTTATAGCAATCTCACTTTTGGGTACATATCCAAAAGAATTGAAAGCAATATCTTCAATAGATATTAGCACACCCATGTTCATAGCAACATTATATACATATAGGGGAATATTATTTAGCCTTTAAAAAGGAGGAAATCCTTCTTTACTAAATATAAATGAACCTAGAGGACTAAGTGAATTAAGCCAGTCACAATAAGACAAATACTGTTTGATTCTACTTACATGAGTATCAAAGTAGTCAAATTTATAAAAACAGATAATAGAATGATAGTTGCCAGAGGTATTAGGGAGGGGGAAAAGGAGAGTTGTCATTTAATAGGTATAGAGTTTTAGTTTTGCAAGATAAAAAAGTTCTGTAGATCCAGTCCACAACAATGTGAATACACTTTACTGAACTGTACACCTAAAAATGGTTGCGATAACTTAAAAAAAAAAAAAGATACTGATGTCCAGGGAAGAAATTTACATTCTTCTCTTATCAAAAAGATTCCCTTTGGGGAAAGAGGCAAGAAACTGATCCATCACTAAGGGGAAAGAAGTATCTGTGGTAATACCCCAAACTAAAATTTTCTATGTATTTCATTCATTTTGTCAAAAAAGTATTATATATATTTGGTGTAGAAATGTTAATTAGTCTCTAAAGTTAACTACCATTTACACTACAATTTCTATAGGAAAATGTACTGTGATTTCCAAACATCTAATTATAAAACTTTCAAAAACATAATCATTAGGAATGGTCTTTTATGTCAAAGGAATGACAGTAAACTTAAATCAAGTGTGCAACCCTGTAAATCATTCCTGTAACTCCTACAACTTTAGAATGATAGGTACATTACAATAAAAATGACCAAAATACAGGAAACATACCTTATTCCAGAGAGACTGTCAAAGGCATGAAGATCTAGCACGTTAGAGAGATCAACTCTACAAGAAACAAAACCAATATAACAGTGTGAAATTCTATGAAATATATTCAGTTAATCAAGAAAAAATATCTTAAAGATTCTTTTGCCAAAAATGTAGACATAAAGGTTTATCAGTAGATCATAGTATTTGGGGGAAACAAAAAAACTTGTAAGAAAATTTTTATAGATTTTATACATAAAATTAAAAAACTGGGTGAATGGTCTAAGATCAAAGCTACTTGGTTATTGCTCCAATAAGCTGTAGTTTTTTAGTTTGTTGTTTGTTTTTTTACTTTCAACTGTTTTTTCAATCCTGAAAATTTACAAACTTTTCAAATACATTTTTATAGCAATATTGTATCAGTGAAAGAAGTGAAACTTTTCAAAGCAGCAGTTTATTACTCAAATATGAAATGAGGGTAGTGGAACAAATGGAAATAACATAAAGCATAGGTGCATTACCTTTGGAATTTTTGTTATTTGCTTACTCTACCTCTCTCCTTCCATGATATATAACAGTAATATTGTAAGAATGTGAGGAGTCAAACAACCATTATATTAGAAATATTCACTCTAGGGCCTATATTTATATCCAAAGAATGTGGTTTGATTTCATTTCCTTTAGAATGGTATTGCATATAAACTAGAACTTCCTAGTTAGTGCTCTATCTAAATAAACATTATTTCTGTTAGAATTGTTTAGTAGTAATTGTCTTATCATGAAAGCAAGTATTCAAATCCAAAGAGAACATCATATCAAAACTAGCATTAGGCCCTGGACGGTTTTGCTCAGCGGTTAGAGCATCGGCCCATGGACCGAAGAGTTGAGGGTTTGATTGTGTACCTCGGTGGTGGTTCGTCCCCAGCCCTGGTAGGGGTCGGGTGGGAGGCAGCCAGTTGATGTGTCTCTCTCACATCAATGTTTCTCTCTCTCTCCCACCCTATTTGAAGATAAATGAAAAAAAAAACAAAATCCTCAAGTGAGGATTAAAAAAACAAACAAAACTATCATTACGTTTGTTTTAAACACATACATTTATAAAGAGCAGTAAATGAGTTTAAATTTTTTCACAAGCCCATTAAACAGTAGAAGACAGTGATTGCTCTATGTCAAAGCTACAATGAAAGAATGTTTAAAGAAAATGACAACAGTGTAATTGAATTTCAAAGTTGATTCCAGGAACTTGCCAAACATTTATTAAAGTTTCTCACAAGGAAATCAAAACTTGGTCAAATTCAAGATTTCAAAAAAATCAGTAAACATGTAAGCTAAACCATCTCTTTTAACTTAGGACTGACTGACCAGCTGTGTCTGCTTTGCTCATTCTCAACAGTCTGCCATATATTCACATGTGTGCCAACGATACTCTGTTAGATTATGAGTGCTTATCCTGACATAAGGCAGACCAATTTCCATCTTATTAAAAGAAGAATACTCCAAAGTTCTATGTTAATAGATTATAACAGTATTTCAAAATCTGGACATTCTAGATGAGCAGAATTAGGAAGATTATCAAGCAAAGAAATAAATGTTCCATGAAGAATGTTTGAATATAAATTTACATAAGAAACCAAAGTTTCCACACTAAACATATTCCCTTTTTCACTATCACAACTGAGCAAATATTTATATTGACAGGTGACAAATGAATGAAGTTTTCCCCAAGTTTATTATCTTAACCTTAGGAAATAGCTTAAAGCTTAAGAAAGTTTACACACGCCAAATGTGAGAATATAAAAATTCAGGCCAATTATGTGAACACCAAAAGTCAGTTTTATAACACAAGCTTCTAAATAAACTATTTCACTGTGACAGTATCCTTGAGAATACATGTCATAGATTTAGACATAATTCTGCTTTATACCCAGATTCTTCTGATATTGCCAAAACAGACAGGATCAACAATTGATCCGTACAGGTTAAATCCTATAGGGAATAATAACATATCAAAGTCTCTCACTATATTCTCACTAGGTTCTCAATGGAAAGTAAAAGAGGAAAAAGTCCAAGCTTCCAAATGAAAGTTACCATGGATTTTCTTCAAATCTGTTACCATCATGAAAAATAAATTCTTTCACTCACTAGAAACCGAATTTCCATGGTATCAAATGCATTTAATTTCCTCCTTTGAAGATAAAAACATCAGACATTTTTCAAGACATTAACATAAAGATAAAAATAAAAACTATTACCATCAAGTAAATACTAAATGAGAGAATAAAGCAAAGATAAAGGGGGAAGTAAAGAACTTCCAAAGCTCATCTTTTCTCCTAATGTCTTGAACTATTTATGCCAAGAGTAATCAGTGAAGAGCTCCCAGTTTTCCCTATGTCTAAGGAGTGCTTCAGGCAGCCTAAGACTACGGACAGAAGGATGACAAGGAAGAGGGCTCTGACTGTCCAAGGTGGAAAAGGCGGTTCAGGAGCTACTTCAGGGATATTATCTGTAGTCATCTTTTCTAAGTTTAGTGAGTCCCACAAACAGAGTCTACCAGCCAATTCCAGATCTATGACTTGTCGATACCATCCAATAGCTAAGTCCCAAACTCTAGAATTAAATTTCCAAATGCTTTCCCCTCAGTGGCACCATAAATGTCTATAGAACTGAACTAATCACCTTTACGAAACCCACTGCTACCACCACCCTACCCAAAAATTGCTCCTCCCTTCCTGTATTTTCTTTAATTTTTTTCTTTATTGATTTTAGAGAGAGAGGAAGGGAGAGGGAGAGAGATAGAAACATTGATGAGAGAGAACATCGATTGGCTGCCTCCTGCATGCCCTCTACCACTGGGGATTTGGCCCACAACCTGGGCATGTGCCCTGACCAGGAATCGAACCAGTGACCTCTTGGTGCCTGGGTCGATGCTCAACCACTGAGCCACACGGGCTGGGCCCTTCCTGTATTTTCTAACTTGGAAGAACTGCACCATATTCAATCCATTTCCCAAGAGTCATACTGCTTGTGAAATCCTTCACTAACTCTTGCTGCCTACAGGAGAAGATCCAAACTATGTATCAAGGCATTTAAGATGTTTTGTGGTGCCTGGCTGATGTGGCTCAGTGGGTGAGCATCGACCCATGCACCAAGAGGTCACTGGTTTGATTCCCGATCAGGACATATGCCCGGGTTGTGGGCCAGATCCCCAGTGGGGGGTATGTAGGAAGCGGCCAATCGATGTTTTCCCTCATCGATGTTTCTCTCTCTCTCTCTCTCTCCCTCTCCCTCTCCCTTTAAAATCAATAAAGAAAGGAGCTCCCATAACACTAGCAACTGATTCTCAAAAGAAACTCTGCAGGCCAGAAAGGAGTAGCAAGAGATATTCAAGGTGATGAAAAGCAATGACCTACAACCAAGATTACTCTATCCTGCAAAGCTAACATTTAGAATCGATGGACATATCAAGAGTTTCCCAGACAAGAAAAAGCTAAAGGAGTTCATTACCATCATACCAATGTTATATGAAATGTTGAAGGGTCTTCTTGAAGGAAAAGAACAAAAATATGAATAATAAAATGGCAATTAATATATATCTATCAACAATTGAATCTACAAACAAAATGAGCAAGCAGAATAGAAACAGACTCATAGATAGAGAACTTTTTGTTGCTTGCCAGATGGGTGGGGACTGGGAGGATTGGTGAAAAAGATGAAGGAATTAAGAAGTACAAGTTGGTTGTTAGACTGATGAACCTCAAAGGGAAGGGGGGGAAGGTGGAATGAGATGAACCAAAGAACTTCTATACATATATGCATAATCAATGGACACCAACAATAGTGTGGGGAAGGCAGGACAGGGGCAGGATTGGGGAGAAGGGGGTTAATGGGAAAAAAAGGGACGGGAACATCTGTAATACATTCAATGATAAAGATGAGTTAAAGGAAGGAAGGAAGGAAGGAAGGAAGGAAGGAAGGAAGGAAGGAAGGAAGGAAGGAAGGAAGGAAGGAAGGAAGGAAGGAAGAAAAAAATTTTTTAAAACAGATGCTTTGTGGTAAATTTTCCATCTCTTCAGTCATATCTCTTTTCTCTCTGCAACACAATACCACGTGTTCTAGACATTCTAAAATATTCACAGGTTCTTGGAATACAAACTCTTCCTTAGGCCTAGAAATCCATTGCTACTCTTGTCCATCTGGAAAACTATTCATTTTTCAAGACTCAGGTCAGTGATCACCTTCTCAGTCAAAATTTTCTGACTCTTCATCAAGAAGAGTTGAGCAATTGTTCCTCTATCTTTCTGTTCTTACAGGACCCTGTGCATTTAATATTCCTGTGACATTAATAATATTTGATATATTGGTTTTGCTTGTTTGCTTCTGTCTCCCTCAAATTCTGGTCTCCTTCAAGGCAAAGTGTTTGCCTTATCCATTGCTTAAATCCTTAACATGCCACAAAATGCCAAGCAACTAGTAGAATGAGCAATAAACAGTTTGTTGAATAGATTAACTATTAAATAATTGGATTTTGTTTTTTCTCTGTTCAATCCCCTTATATCTCCAAGATTTTTAAAAAGCCCAAAAAAGGTAAGAATGGCACTCCTAATCTTCCCCTGATGCTTCCGAAGTCTAGGTGGTCCATTAGAACTTCCATTTGCCTCAAAATCAATTTAAGACTTACCTATAAAACAATGCTACACAACATTCTCATTCCTTAACTTATATACTCTTAAGGTAAGTTTTTCTTACACATGCTTATAGCAGCTTTACTACTGTCAGTTCTACTATTGTCAGCATTTGTCAAGTCACAAGATGCTTAAGGGATTTTAAAAAATACACATACAGTAAAACAAAACTTCCATCAGAGTGATTTCAGCTATTTTGTTAAAAACCAAATCTCTAGTTTCTAAACTGGGAAGCTCAAGTTGCTATGCCTCAGGAAATTTTGGAAAGTATTTAATATAAGATTCATGACCTAATAGTAAGAATTCTACCAAGGAGTTCTGATCTTCATTGAAAAGGATCCTAATCCAATGTCAGTCCTCAACACAAGAAGTACTATTTCAGAAAGTCCCTAGATTCTCAAATGCACTGGCAAACACCAGACACTGAAGAAACAGAAGGGAAAAGGAGATTGTATTCCCCTGTTCATTCATCTATTTGAAGTAACAAAATTTAATCACTGCATGTGTGCTGATCTGTAACAGAACAAATGTTAAAAATGTCATATAAACATCAAAATCCTTACATAATAAACTATTCAGGACGAAACCTTTATGCAGGACAGAAAGGTCCAAAATAAAACCCAATGAAATAAATTAAGCATGAAATAAATTAGGCCTTTAGAAAACTGATTTAAGATATTTGTAAATATGAACCAAATAAATGCTATTACAACAGAACCTCAGCTATTTATGGACATGATTTTTAAAACCTTATTTAAGCGTTACATGGTGGTCTGTCATTTTATAAAGAAAAGAAACACATTTAGTGTATGCTTGCAGAGAACTTACACTCAAGGCATTCTTCTGCTACCTCTGCCAGCAGATGAGTGGCTCCTGAGAATGCAAACCAAATTAATTCCCTGGCTGCTGACATGCAGATAAGCAGCTGCTGCTGTTACTGCCTAACACTTACTGTCGTCTGTCAGCACCTCTAATCTCTGCCATAGCAGAGGAGCCATTCAACTCGGGCCTCTGCTGCACCTTCAAGGAAAGAATCTCTGAGTTAAAAACTGGGTGGCACTAGATTGCCAGCTGTGAGTCTCAGAGCTGTGGCTCATGTTGCTGGGTCTATCAACTGCTGAGCCATTCTCACTAAAAAAATGAGCTTAATGAAATACCCCTGTACAGAAATTTACTGAAATCATAATAGCATTCAATGGAAAACAGGGGTCAGTCTACAGAAATCTATTTTACAGATGTTTTAAGAACACATAATTTTATAAAGTAATGCACATCTGTATAAACACAATGGAAAGAGAGAAAAACATACAGGAAATGGAAAACAAAAATTTTTTTAAAAAGGAACTTAGATATATTTTTACATGACAGATTACTTTTGCAACCATGAAACACTAAGGTTTAAAAATATTTAAAAGCTATTTAGATATCTCAAATTAAAATAATATTCCTAATAATATACTTTTTTCAGATTTCTATACTATTTACTTTGAAAGTGACTGAAAGTCCTATGGTTTCCTCTTCATTAAGCAAAAGCACAGTTGCACAGTGTTATCATATTATATTAAATAAATATGCCAAACTAACTTATAAAGAACATTTTAAACACATTTCTGGGCCCTCTTTTTAATAATGCACATGTGGCCTGACCAGTGTGGATCATTGTTGGATTGAGCCTCGTTCCATGGACTGAGAGGTCCCAGTTGGATTCCTGGTCAGGGCACACGCTGGGATTGTGAGCTTGATCCCCAGTAGGGGGCCTGCAGGAGGCAGCCAATCGATGTTTCTCTCTCACATAGATGTTTCTCTCTCTCTCTCTAAAAAAATCAATTAAAAAAACCATTAAAAATGCACCTGAGGCCCTAGCCGGTTTGACTCAGCAGTTGAAGCATCAGCCTGTGGACCAAAGGGTCAAGGGTTCAATTTCCGGTCAGGGTTGCAGATTTGATCCCTGGCCCCAGTGAGGGTTGTGCAAGAAGCATCCAATCAATGTCTCTCTCACATTTATGTTTCTCTCTCTCTCCCCTTCTCTCCCTTCCAATCTATCTGAAAAGCAATGGAAAGATATCCTCGGGTGAGGATTTAAATTTAAAAAATGCACATATGTCCTGGCCAGTGTGGCTCAGTTTGTTTAGTGCTGTCCCATGCACCAAAAGATCTTGGGTTCCATTTCTGTTCAGGGCACATACCCAGGTTGCAGGTTTGATCCCCAGTCAGGGTGTGTGCAGAAGGCAACTGATCAATGTTTCTCTCTCCCTTCCTCTCTCTCTAAAAATCAATAAAGAAAAAAATGCACATGTATTTTTCTTGTATCACGATCAAGCATATTTATCAATTACTTAATATGTATTAACTAAATTATTTATTGTTAATATCACTAACAGTTTTTTAAAAGTACCTTGATCTTTGTGTTTCTAAGATTTTCCCCAGTCCATTTATTGATCTGAAATACATTTTAAGAAGAAGAAAAGATAAGCACATGTTAAGTTTTTTAAAAAGCACACGAGGCACATTATTTCTAAAATATAAAGTAAGCACATACAAACATATCTGGAAGTAGAAAAAACAAAAAAATAGAAAAACAAAACTTACATATTTTATAGTTTGTTTTTTTTTCCCCCCTTCTAATCATAAGTCAGGTATTAAAACATGATATGCAAAAATTTACTGCACAACTTACAGACTAGGGGCTACTTTGTGAATTATAAAAAGACCCTTCACTTTAGAAAATATGATTTATAAGTAGCCAGTAATTCTAATGTTCTTATAATGAGTATATAAGTAACACATTTTATTGATATCCAATATTTCCCAAACACTCTTTGTGGAAATGACTATACACATGCTACAAATTAAAACCTAGTTCTGAGTGGCTTTGACCCAAGCCTGTCCTCAATATTCACATTAAGTCACACATCCAGGTTCTTTTATAAAATATCCTCTGGGAATCTCTACCCACTCTACCAGCCCTCCCCTTTCTGATACTAAGATAATAAAATATGGCTCCCATTGTATGGCACCAAAAATACTTGTTAAATCCTTTTCAATATACTGTACACCTGACCTAGTTATCTTTATATCATCAATTCCATTGCTTTTAGTGTTTCTTGTTGATATTTGCTATTTATTCATGCTTGTTCTTATGGGTAAGGCTTCCTGCATACAATGATCCTGAGGGAAGTCTCTCCACTATTTCACAAAATTCTTAATCTTCTCTTTTGAATGTACTCTATAACATGATGGCTATTTCCTCTCAAAAATGTTTGCCTTCCAACTCCCTAAATCTAATTCCGAGTCAATTACAAGTCTGATATACAATGGAGGGTAAAAAGCCAAAAGGGTCTTTAATTTGGCAATGTACTTTGTCCAAATTCTTTTCTGGTACAACTGTACAGTACATGCTGGCAACAAGTTGACCAATAGTCAATCTTGCTGATACTGGAGATCCAGCTTAGTCACATGGAAATAGAAAAGCCCAGTAGTAATGACCAAAAATGTTTGCTACATGGACTGTGTTCTTTTTTCTAGAAATCACAATAGTGGACAGGATTTTGAAAAGAGAGACAAAATTTAGGAAACTACTGTCAAAAGGGATAAAAGAAGTAATCTTCATTCACTGGTTCATCTTTTTAGACTTTTCAAAATTGTCGATCACCTTTCTATTTCTTTCATTTTTTTATTCACTGTAACTTGAAATTACTAAATAAACTGAGAAAAAAAACCTATAATGTAATAAAGATAGAGCTAACACCTCAATTACTATATGCTGGGCACTATACAAAGTTTGCCAACATTATCTCATGTAATACTCAAATCAAACTTACAAAGTAGGTATTACTTCTGTTTTACAGATGAGACTGAAAAAGAATACAGTGAGAAACATACCAAGATTGAACTCAAGCAGATTCCAAAGCCCATGACCTTAAATACTATGCAATACTATCTGCCCTCTACATGGAGACATTACTACAGTTTTTCATAGTAAAGTCTGAGAGGACATTACTATTAAAATAAGACCAATTTTGGAGAAAAACATAAATTTTTTTCTTCTGTAATCATTATCATTACAGGAAATCTCCTAATGAGTCTTACCTTCATTGTTTCAATTTGTAACATATACTATATGAACTGGGACTGAAATTCAAAATCTGATGTAAGCAGACTGTGCCCACTAAAGATGACTAATAATAAAAGCTATTCAATGTCTCTTCATAGGTGGCATTTATTAGTTTAGGTCTTATAAAATAATCCGAAGTTCCTAAACTCTAATCTTACTTGAAAGTCCAAATCACTTTTGGATCACTTTACACATATTTGAGTATCATTCATATTATCCTATATTGATTAGCCTTGGCCTACAGACATTAAAACAAGCTAGGAAACAAGTATGGTTAGTTGACAACTAAGGAAAACAGTCAATGAGGATTGGGGAAAAGTGAGACCACATGAGTCAGAGGCTTCACAGAGATAGGCAAAAAGAGGTGGAGAGGAGATGAGCCCTAGAGAATAGATAAAATTGCTGAAAAAGAAAGAAGAAAAACAGCAAAGATAAAGGAATTCAAGGACTGGCAGAGTGACAGTGAGAACACAATATGAGTAATAAAAGGATTTCACAAGACACATCCATGAGAAAGTAAGTAAATATCATCCTGGGTACAGAGAACTGCATGTAAGGAAAAAGTCAAAGAGAAGACAGGAAAAGGAGAATGAAGCCAGAAGACCCTGAATATCACTCTATGAACTTTGAACTATATTCTGTTACCAGTGGGGAATAACTTCACATATTACTATTTACGTAACAGTCAATTAGGCAACAACAATATATGTGATTCTTTAACGGTACAGGGTAAAAATATTTTGTATAGTACACTTTGAATTTGTAAGTACTTAACACGTATAACTTAGTACCTAATAGTTGTTCTTAATTTGTTTAAATCCTCTTCTGAAACCAAGTCTGTTTTATTGATGATGATGATATCTGCCAAAGCAACTTGCCTAAATTAGCAAACAAGAACAGATGCCAAAAGAGAAATGTTAATAAATTAAAAATAAATAGAAACATCTCCTTCAGATCAATTATCAGTTAAAAACTAGATAGTACTCTATATAGTAATTCAATTTACTCCTAACATATTTATTCTTCAGATAGTAAGAATAAATTATATTCATCACTATACAAATTCAAATTTCACATTATTGATTAAAAATATTTACTAAAAGCTTTCACTTGCTACTCTAGAACTACAAAGACAAGTCTCAAAAAATGTACAATCAAGGATGATTTACAATTCAGATGATTATCAACTCATGATTTTCTTTATAAAAAAATTCATAAGCCCTGGCCAGTTTGGCTCAGCGGTTAGAGCGTGGCCTGTGGTCTGGAGAGACACGGGTTCGGTTCCCGCTAAGGGCACGTACTTCGGTTGCAGTTTGTCCCCGGCCCTGGTTGGTCGTGTGGGTGGCAGCCACTCGATGTGTCCCTTCACGTCGATGTTTCTCTCTCTCTCTCCCTTCCTCTCTCTCCCTCCCACTCTATCTGTACAAAAAATGGAAAAATATCCTCGGGTGAGGATAAAAAAAAAAAAAAAAATTCATAAAATTCAGCCCAGGCAGGTATGGCTCAGCAGTTAGAGCATTAGCCCACGGACCAGAGAGTCCCGGGTTCAGTTCCTGCTAAAGGCATGTACCTCAGTTGCAGTTTGTCCCTGGCCCCGGTTGGGGTCGTGTGGGTGGCAACCAGTCAATGTGTTTCTCTCACATCAATGTTTCTCTCTCTCCCTCCCACTCTATCTGAAGATGAATGCAAAAATGTCCTCGGGTGAGAGTAAAAAAAAAAAAAATTCATAAAATTCAGATATCCAACATGGTAAAAACAAGGAGAATCTACTTACTAAGATTTTCCATGTAATAGTTACCATAATTTTCAAAGAAATACCATGAATAAGTTTAACATTAAAACTACATTAAACAATATTTTAAAAAACTATACTTCAGAAGATTTATATCAGGATCTCTAACAAATATTTACTTCATTACTATGAATGTATATTTTCTCTGTAAAACAGATACACATAAGCCCAAATCAAAGAAGCAAGTTCACAGAGACTAAGAAAATAACTTACTTTAAATAGAAATTATATATTCTATGAACAGAAATAGTAAAGCTGAGGAGTCTTTAAATTTTCCTCAATTCTTCAGGAAATTTTAATCACTAGACTATTTGTTCCTAATCTTAGTTTTATGCTACCTGAAGGTATAGCTGATAAATAAAACAATAAAATTCTCAAAAATAAAATTTATTTCATTAAAAGAGGTTTTAATAGTATGCATATCACAATCCCATTTTTTAAAAGTAAATTTTACATGAATAAAGACTGAATGTGCACATCTCAAAATATGAACAGTTGCAACCTTTAAATTGGAGGTCTTTTATGTTTAATTTTACCTTGGCTTTTATAATATTTAGCTATTTTCTATTTGGCTTATTTAAATTTTCTATAATAAAAATATTTTAGTAAGAGAAAAAGTTAATAAAAACATTTAGGTTCCATCTAATATGAATCAGAACTATATACCAAATGCAGTGTTTAGGCAGGATTACAAAAAAACAGAGTACCATGCTCAAATGATAGGGAATCAATCGCTTCCTTACCGTCTTTATTATTTATGTCTGGATCATCCACAGCAAATCTCAAGGGAGCTCCCTCTTAAACTCAGCAGCATATTTAGTGACTGTCACTTATCCAAAAACCTTTTTCCCATTAGCAAGAATATGCTTAGGGCAGGCAAACTAATTTAAATATTTATAAGTCTAAAGATAAACTAATCAGGAACATGAAGGTATGTAAACAAAAAATGTTCTAAATGCCAAATTAAAACAATATCCATACTGGTTCCTCTATTATTCTGAGTAACAGTGAACATTTGAATCAAATGAATTAGTGTTAAGAAGGCAGTAATTAAACCAACTTTTTTATAATCAAAGAAATTATATGATAACAAGAAAATATTTTTAAAAGATAATATTTTTAAATGTTAACATTTCCCAAGCTTCTCACAAAGAACTGTGCCAGCACTCACTTTATGCTATAATAAAAAATAGTTTCAAATACAAGTTTAGTTATCAGAACACTATAAATAGTTAGCAATAATTCAACTACAGGAAAAAAATAAATTCCTTGACTTATGGTTTTATACTTCTCAGTTTTTGGTTTTCATATTAATAATTTTCTCTTTCCAATTAGCCAGTAATCCATATATACTTTAAATATAGAATACCTAGAAGCTTCATTGATAAGGCCATCAGGTTTTTCTTCTGTTAAATGCTAAACAAAAACAAATTTTAATAAAAGTTACTGTGGTGTAACAAAAATCTAATGTTAATAAAAGGATTTTATTTTACAGAATCTTTTCTTACCTCTGATAAAGACTTCAACAAGCTCTATCACTGAATACACAAATTAGTTTGTCTCCATCTGTAATTGTTTTCCTATAATGAACCTATAGGGGCTTGGGGGTGGGGTGCTTATATTATAAAGGAAAACCCTCTATACTTAAAGTCATAGAAGCATAAAATGGTATAGTTAAGATTTTAGGCATTTTCCTTTTTATAAAATTGTTCTTGTCCTAAATATTCATTATTACTTATTTAAAAAGATAATCACTGAAATTGTACTTTATTAAAATCTAATATACTTCCCTCCATTCCTATCCCACTCTAGAGAGGACATAATAATGGGATTTGTTATAGCCTAATATATTCCCTTAAAAAAACTACACTTAAGAAGATATATCAGGATCTTTAGCAAATATCTTCCTCATAACTATGAATATATATGTTCTCTATAAAACAGATATACATAAATTCAAACTAAAGAATCCAATTGACAGAACGCTAATAACAAAATAGCCCCACTCCCAACCCAGAATGGTGTATTATATTAAGTCAGTACTGGGCCCTTCCTATACCCTAGAAACAAATATGCTGAGAGAAGGGCACAGCCCTAATTCTAGCATAAAAGCAGTTTATCATTCAGTAACACTTGAGTGATCTGGCTTCTCCATAGAACTGTTTATTTTGCTGACCTCTTCAGAGTCATGCTAGCTCCAAAAAAATATTTTGACACTGACTTGGAGGTCCACGAGGTAGTTCTCCTCTCTCTGGAGGCAGTTATTATTTTCCCATAATCCTATTTATAGCCTTAACATATAGCCATAAGGTTCCTCTGGAAAATGTTTCACCTTCATTACCTTAACTCTCAAAAGCTTCCTACCGAGGCTATAGGCAATTAGATTAATATTCTTTATATTTGAATTGAACTTCACAATTATTAAATCCTTTTACATATATTATCTCATTTACCCTTCATAACAATTATGGGGAAAGGCTAGTCTCCTCATTTTATAAAAGAAAAAAACAAATCCAACCATAACCATCACAGGACAACCTATATTATAGGGCTATTTTTCAAAAATTGAAAATGTGCTCAGCAGAAATAAAATAAAAATAATTTTAAAATCTTTGTGAAAGCTTTTCGCCTTATAAAAATCAGTTTTGTATACAGTGTCACACAAATGTTAATAATCACATAAGAGTATATACATAAAGATTACCTAAAAATTATATTCTAAATTATTTCACTGTGCTCCCTTTGGCAGCACATATATTGAAAAAATTATTTCACCAAGCCAGTTTCACAATTCATTGGGAGGTAGATCATTAAGGTATTTGAATAGTTTGAAACTTAAGAGCAAATTGGTAATAATTTTATTTAATAGTTTTGGTTAAATCTATAGAGAAAAACCTTTTTTTCTCCTAAAAGTCTGCCAAATTCTATTTTGGAATAACAAGACTAAAACTACAGTAACGATATACTGGTTTCCACTTTAGGCACAATCCCATAAATTTAACTGCAGATTCACTCTAATTATGGAAGTCATAGAAATTGGAGAATATTGTAGCAAAAGTTGTTCCTTGCCCTGGCTGGTTTGGCTCAGCGGTTGGAGTGTTGGCCTGTGGTCCAGAGAGACCCGGGTTCGGTTCCCGCTAAGGGCGCATACCTTGGTTGCAGTTTGTCCTGGCCCTGGTTGGTCGTGTAGGTGGCAGCCACTCGATGTGTCCGTTTCACATCGATATTTCTCTCTCTCTCTTCCTCTCTTCTCCCTCCCACTCTACCTGAACAAAAAATGGAAAAATGTCCTCGGGTGAGGATTAAAAAAAAAGTAGTTCCTTGCCAAAAGACCAACTTTACTATTTTTGCTAATTATTCTTGGCCAAAGACTCTAACAAATCCTATTATTGTGTCCTCTAGAGAATAAAGATGTTACCATCCTGGAAAGAGTACCTCACACCCAGGCTCAGCAAATATTTGTTAAATGAATGCTAAATAACACCCCCTATTTGTTGATATAGATACATGAATGTCATTTGAAAAATTCTATATCACATGAAGCAACAAATGCCCTTCTATTAAGCGGTAAACTTATTTAGCAAAGATGTATTTTTAGCAGGGTATCTGTTCCTGAATGACCCTGCAATACTTGTTATTTTAAAATATTTTTCAAAACATGGTATTGTTGACATTTTGGAAGCTTTATTTACGTATAAATTTGGAGCTACTGGCTGTGAGCTAGTGCAGTATAAAAAAAGATATGGCAAGAATATTAGAAACTAATTTTGAATTTCCATACCTAAATGGAACTAATAAAATAGCAGTTTCACAAAGTAACTCATGTTTGTAATGCATTTACTTCTCCAAAAGATTAGAAATCTTTACTCAAAGCTAAATAGAATGGAAAATATTTTACTACCTCCAGGCAGTTGGGAAGCATAACATACAAAAATGCATTAAAACTCTCCCAAACAAAAATCTGCTCACACATATAACTCTATTAAGAATATGGCATGTAATAATCATATATAATTATAGTCAAAGAGATAAATGCCCTGTTCTATGAACATATGAAGGCTATACAAACATAAAGAAATAATAAATGCATACTAACATTTATTTTCTCTGGTTATCAGCACATTTCCCTTATGCAACCTCCCACCTCCAAGACAAACTCTATAAAAAGACTAAAACCAATGACATTCTCCAATAACACATTATACACCATTAAGTCTGATGAGTTCCATTTATAAGGTCAAAAAATGGAAATTCTGACATTCTATACTACCTGTACAGGGAAGGAAGAAAAAATTGTTTCAAAATATTTATATATATTTATAAATAAAAGACCCCAAAGGAGGCCTCATCTCTGCTTAAAGACTGGCTTTTGCTTTTGCAAAAAAAGACAAAAATAATTATGGTACTAATTAATGCAACATATTAAAAAGATTAAGCTTCAACCCTCTAACTTAATATACTACGAGAAAGAAACCCTTTTAAATAACACCACTATAGACACAACTTCAGTAAGGGCTATAGGGTGTCCATTTCTGCAGGAATAGAAACAAGCTGCATCAAAATAAAAAAAAGGAAAGAAAATACATTGTTGTTGACCAAAGTGGAAATAAATCTAGTGTCAAAGATGTCTGATGACATTAAAAAAAAAAAAGTTGCAGTAGGTATTTCTTTCCAATGGATCGGTTATAAATCTAACACTATATTAGTTTAAAAAAAAAAAGATTATTGCAAAATGTCAGTCTATTTATTTTTCGAATCTTTTCCAAGCCAAACTGTTTTCTGACTGAATTGTTTCAACAGCTTGTGCAGTATGACAAAAGAACCAAAAGAAACCTCTCCCTTGACCTTTTCTCTGTAACTTCATTCATTGATTTTATTGCATTAAATGCTGTCACATTTGTAGAACTGAAAAGAACAATGTCAGTAGCCTGGGTGTCAAGTCATGAGAATAGAGAGCTGTCATTTGAAGTTGTCCAATTCTTTGCCCATGATTAAAAAATGAATATTTCAGATCAATGGGTGACAATCCCATTAGAGTGATAGCCCATGATATCAATTACCACTTCAGTTTCAATTTGGCTGGCTGGCCACAGGGTACCATTTCTCAGCTTTACTTGTGATGGGCTGGCTCTGTGAAGCATGACACCCTTAAATTGCTGCCCATTATCCAAGTGTCATTACTTGTACTCCTTCAGAATTCTCTGAATCACAAGCAGCTACTGAGGTCAAGCTTTGCAACCCGAGGAATTGGACAAGTTGGCAAATTCTTTATATAAAGGAAAAGTTATTTATCTGGCATCTGACTTAGAAAATCTAAAGTTTCCATTATCCTGACAGTATGTCAGTTTTATGTAGGTATATTGATTTAATAATTTAAGAGGTTTTATCAAGGTGGCAGGGGGTTAAACATTTACTGTGTTTGCATTATTCAGAATGCTGCTTTGATTTTTTTTGGCCTCTATCACACTGATAATAGATTCTACTTAACCCCTCTCCATACCCAAACATACACATAAAATTATTCCTATCATCATAAATACATAGAGTTTGACTTTAGGTATGCACATGAAGTCTATCAAAAAAACACGAAAACAAATAAATCCTAACTGCTATCCTGTAGGTATCCCAAATTTGGTAATAAATTTATATAAGGGATGAATTCAAACTTGATGGTAATAATCATTCAGAATGAAGAATTTGACCTTTTTGTTTCCTTCAACATTTTGCTAGAAATATTACAATTTAAGAACAAGTCATAATTTTTCTGAGTAAAATTATAATATTTGGGATCTTTGATTCTTAAGACTATTATTAATAAATTTGAACTTTAAAAGCTAAAAAAGGAATTGTCTCTCAAACTTCTCAAATTAGGGTACTTTATCCCTGAGGGAACTGAAGGGCCAGAAAAAGGGTATTGGTAGTCATTTGACAAGCCTGCTATAAATTTCTAGAGCTTCATTTTAGTAAAGGTGTGGAAGAAAAACAATTTTTTTCAAGTTAACAAGTTTAGATATATTGTAGAATATAAAATGGACATAAATTTTTCAATGTTAAATTTAAACTTCTAAAAAATGATTATTTTGGGCACTATCCATATCCCCAGATTGGAATTGTGAGATGGAGGATAATTTCATTCTCTTCCGCCTTTAGTAATATTTCACTTGGAAAGTTGAGAAACACGATTTTACTTTATGTAACAACACACTTTTAAAAATCTTACTAAGTGTGTTTTATACTTTGAAGCCCATTTAAATGCATCTGAGGACCTTGGTAGTTCCAAAAACATTCAGAGCAGGATGCCTTTTAATGAAAAGTTGCTTCTCACTAAACCTATGTATAAATCCTGATTTCTTCAAAATAAAGTAAAGCAGTATTTTTTTAAATCTCAATTATCTCTAGCTTGTGTCTGACAAAAGTTTAACAAGAAAAATAAGCTCTCATATTCTTTATGAAGCTCAGTTTCTTCTATCAATCAGAAAAAACTTATCAACATTGGGGTTGAATCCTACTGAGGAGTTATGAACACCCAAACTTCATCCTGTAATATCCTTATTACAAAATATTATACTTCCAACTTTTATCATATCAAGCCAGAGTAACAGAAAATATTTAATTCAAAAGCACAAAATAATAAAACACACAAATTTAAAAACACACAAATTTTATCTATTGTTTAAAAAAAGATTTTGCTACGGAAAATTTCAAAGAGACACAAATGTAGAGAAAATAATATAATCAATCCCCATATACCCAGCTCTTAAGAAATAAGTAGCAACTCATTGCCATCTTTCAACTTACCTTTAATCCATATTTTGAGTCCACAACAGTTATGATACCTACAAAGAAATAAATCTTTTGATCACCTTTATACTTGAGAATAAAAATTAAAACTAATTTATTTCAGCTCACAAATGTTACTCAATAAAATAGTTTTATTTTCTCTTGCCAAGGCTATAATTTAATTCAATTCCATTAATAAGTGGACGTATTTTCAAATATGTACTGAGTCTCCAGCACTATGTTAAGGTACTAGAGAGAATATAAAATAAATAAAAATTTTAATTAAATAAACAAGCCTTTTAGCTTATAATCCAAAACATTATGAGACAAATTTAAATTTCATAATATAAAGTAAAATGTGATAAATTACATAAGACAGGTTATTTCTAGTTTATTTTCACATAATCAAAATCAAGACTCTTCTTAACATTTAAATTATTGTTTAACAAACCTGATATGTCTTAGGATATCTTATTCCTATAATCTCTCACCAAATCTAACTCACACAAGTATTATACATATGTACCTAAATCTCCAAATGATCAATCAGTTTGACAATCTCTGACTTTATATGCTAACATTTTTTTTCAAAGGATAACAGTAGAATGAGTTTGATGATGCCTGAAGAATCCAAACAGCTGCATGCCACATATATTAGAGTCAAATAATAGGGCCCAGATTCAATGATTCTTAATTTTCACCCGTTAATCTCTGAAAGACCTGGTTTTAGAAAAGGTGGAAAGCTGTAGGGAAAGGGATAAGGGACAACAGAGGAGGGGCAGATGACACATAATAGGACATAAATCAAACAACAGAGGACACAGGAAACCAACCTAGTATTTTAAAAGGAAAACCATTGTGGAAGCACTAAATTGGGAATTAAGATTAAGAGTTGACATCTAATTCTATCATTGTCTGGAGGTTTAGAATCTGTATGAACAAAGACTTACTTTATCATCAAACTAAACAAGTTTAAAAAGAGTAGCAATATAAAGAATTAAAATTATAACATGAATGAACAAAAATCATCTTAACCATACAATATCATTTTACTTGAAACCAAAAATATTCCTTTTTTAACTTACCATCAAGATAAATATCAACCCCTAATTCATCATCAATCCAAAACATAGAAGCTACAGCACCTGAAAATATATATAACAATCATCAAATAAAAATATTTCTTCAAACTGAGAAACACAATTCTATTCAAAATGTTTTAATTTGCCCCAACAAAACTGGTAGGCAAATACATAAACAAATAAAATATAAGTTTCCAATCTTCTTATAGGAATTGTAGTGATAGAACCTTTTACTATTTATACTCACTTCTTCCCCTCTTCGTTTATCTTAAAAAACAATAGATCAACTTTAATCAAATAACAAACCCAAAACCAAACTTCTACAAATGCCATAATAATTTACCAACAGATATTATCAAATAATTTGGGCAATATGGCTGGGTAACATATAGAATTTATTTTTATTTTCTTTCTCCTGAATATAATAATCATACAGTTCAAAAATAATAAATGATCTCTCTAAAGGAAAGCAAAACAAAACATTGATTATTCCAAAATAACTTGTCCAAAAAATAAAAATATGTATTTGTAAATTTTATAGAAGAAAAAAAAAAAACATTCTTATACTATTTATTTAATACTGATATAAAACTTGGGTCTGAGGAAAATTAATTTCTAAATAAGAAATTAAAATTTGACTTTGACAGAATCTGGTTCAGTACCAAGCATACACCCTGATTAGTTTGCCACACCACAAGAAAAAGAAAACTGACAGCAAAGAACATATTTGATTTTTCAAAGCATCCCAGGTCCAGTTAGTGACAGGACTGTCTAAAAGAATGAGTATTGGGGGAAAACAAGGATAACTGAACTCATTCCAATGTCTAAAACTGTCCACCTACCCTGATGAGACGTGGTCCAAGCATCACTGTGTGTCAACAATGAAATACCTGTCAGCTGTTTACAGTGATTACTCATGCAAGATATAGCAAGGGCCACAAGATCTAATGGTTTCCTGATACCTATTGATTTTTTCCCCAAAACTTAATAGTTTTCCAATTTGACTGAAATAGGATTTGTGAGTAACAGGGGTTGAATCAATGTCCGTCCCTTTCACGGAAATTACTTTACCACGACAATTATTTAGCTTAGAACAGGAGAGTGCCAGTCCCCTAAACGGGAAACAACTGAATTGCCAATAAGAATTTTCTTCACCTACTTGGCTAACAATATGATTTTAATTAATGAGGGAGAAAAAAGTATATCTACTGTGTGTATTACTACTCCACACAATAAATCATAAAAAAATTATTCATTTTTTTCACTCAGTATAATTCCTAACATTGTACATAAATCATTTTAGTTTTTAAAACATTCACTGATTTCTATTCAGATAGCTTGTAAGTCCTCTACATTTAACATCTGCCTTGTATTAAGCTGAATTGTAAGAGTGTATTAGAGCTTTTAATATAACTCTGATGGGTATCTTTGGTATAATACTTCCCAGGCTATATAAGAAAGAACTATTTCAAATTTAGATTCAGGTGTTTAGGAGAAGCAGAGATGAGACAATGAAGTTAATCAGTGGTTCTCAACCCAGGGTGATTTTTCTTCACCAGGGAATATTTGGCAATATCTGGAGATACTGTCAGTTGTCTCAACTAGGGGTTGCTACTGGCATCTAGTGGGTAGAGACCAGGAATGCTGCCCAACATCCTACAATGCAGAGGACAGCCTCCTACAACAAAGAATTATCCAGCCCAAAATGACATTTGTGAAAAGGTTAAGAAATTTTGAGTTGGATTACAGAATCTTCCTTTTCAAAACTTCATAAAATAAAATAAAATTTAAAAAGTCAAATTTTATCAGCAGCAACCAAATACACAACCTCTTGTCATAAATTTTGAATAGTGGTAGTTAAAATAAGAAACAGAAAATTCTATGTGACTTATGATAGGTCTTAATTCTACTCCCATACCCAGTAAGAGGTTATAGGGCAATAATTCACAAAGTCCTAACACTTAGCAGAAATAGCTTTCAAAATCACAAGAAGAACTACAGGAGGAGTAAGCAATATGGAAAAAGGTAAAAAAAATGTCAAGGGTAAAATTTTCCTACCATCTCCACATTTGTGAGGGACACTGTCACTTTCTAGGGCTCAGAGCAAAGTGGAGAGGTCTGAAGCTCAAGGATGTCCCTGCACAAGGTATGGAATGTATATTCATGAGTAGTCAGAGCAAACCCAGGACGGGGAGCACTTGGATAAATGGTGATGGACAGAGTCTTGACTGGGAATACAGTGTACAGATGATGTGTTGTGGAATTGTGCACCTGAAACCTGTATAGTTTTGTTACCAGTGTCACCCCCAATAAATTCAATTTTTAAAAAAGTGAGTAGACAAAAAAATTGTGGTATATTATTCATTCATATGCAGGAATTCAGCAATGCAAGGAATTTTTTTAAAAAGCACCTGGCATTTTAAGAGAGCTGAGCCTCAAAGTCACATTGCTCATCAGGTGCTCTCAGTCACCTCTTTTCCCTTTGCTTCCCCATCCCAGCTCCCAGCAATACTCAGCTTTTAAACTGGAGCTCAGGAGAAAAACAGGTGTCAAGTATTAAGAAGAATTCAGCAATACCACATCTAAAGGGAAAGTTCTCTGAGTCTCCTGAATCAAGCACAAACATGCTGAAAAAACTAGACACATGTATTATAGCTTACAAGCAACAACAAAAAGATGAAGCATTCTAATATGAAAATATAATTTGTAGTGCTAAAAAAGTAAACTTACAAACTACATACCATTACTTAACCAATTAATTCATTTAAAACATCAAGGAACAGAACAGATGTTGGTGGAAACAGAATTGCTGACCAAAAGGAAGGTTGGAATTACAGTAAATACAAAGGCAAAAGACAAAGCAAAACAATTAGAATAGGTATGGAGAAAGAAAATTTGATATAAGAAAAATTGGTGTCATAAAGTACAGGATGAAATAATTTTACAGAAAAAACTCTTCATGGTAATAAATAGAAAAATACCTCTAAATGTAGAACTAAATCTACAAATTAAAGGGTACATTGCAATCCAGGAAAAAAATGATATAAATGACACCAAGACATATCTTGGTTTTATTACCAAACTTCAAAAACAAAAATGAAAATTTCAGGCATTTTGGATGAAACAAAAGCAAGTCACTTTCAAGGAGTCAGAAAAAGAAAAAAAAACACTGACTTTTCTATAGCAACATTCATTGCCCCTATATAATAAAATAATGACTACAAAGTTCTAATGAAAATGTTCCCTAAAATATTACCTCCAGCCAAGTAGTCTTTCAAGAATAAAACAACGGGCAGACATTCTCAAACATTAAAGGAAACAACACACACTGAAATTCAAAAAATATATATAGCATTCACAAATCCTTCCTCATGAAATAAAAAGAGAAAATACTGAACAAGAAAATTCAGCCAATCAAAAAATACTGAGAATCACAGAACTACATTGGCTAAGGTCTGAGGGAAAGAAATTGTGATCTGGAAATTTTGGGCCCAGCCAAGTAATCCTTCAAGTATAAAAACAAAACAAGTATTCTCAAGAAATCAAGTATGCAAGAACTCAGGTAATCAGGTAATATAGCACTTACAGCTTGAAAAGATTACCTGACCATGAAATTCCATCAGTCAAGAGAATGATCAACTAAGGAACAGAGAAGCCACAATACTGGTAATGAGGACTAAAACAAATTAAATATAAAACTAAACAAAGTAGGACAGAATATAAATATTAGAAACCTTGACAACACAACACAGAATGAACCAAAACCAGGAGGTGGGAGAAAGTGAAAGAGTGTTAATTTGCTCATCTTTTATGCCAGGCAGTCAAAAAATAATGCTCTCAAAATTGAAACATGTAGTTTAAAAAACAACTTGTCCAATTTGTTTAGGTTCTTTATACTCTTTTCTTCTTTTTCTTAACTCTTATCTCTTGCAAGAAGAAGCATTTATCTGATATTCAACAATTCCTTCACTTCTTTCAAGTTCTCTTTTTTAAATTCAAGTAAAACTAAATTAAGAATTATTCGTAAGCCCTGGCCAATTGGCTCAGTGGTTAGAGCATCGGCCCACAGATCAGAGGGGCCCGAATTAGGTTCCTGCTAGGGGCACGTACCTTGGTTGCAGTTTGTCCCGTCCCCGGCCCTGGTTGGGGTGGTGGGGGTAGCAACTGGTTGATGTGTCTCTCTCACATCGATTATTCTCTCTCTCTCACCCCCTCTCTCCCTCCTACTCTGTCTGAAGATAAATGCAAAAAATGTCCTCGGGTGAGGGAAAAAAAGAATTATTCATAATAGCACACAAAGAATGAGATTCCTATTTTTTTTCTTTTTTATCCTTACCAAAGGATGTATTTTTACATTGATTTTCAGATAGTGGGAGGGAAGGAGGGAGAGAGAAAGAGAAACATTGATGTGAGAAAGACATATTGATTGGCTGCCTCCTGCACAACCCCAACCAGGGCAGAGGATGGAACCTGCAACCAAGGTACACATGCCCTTGACCAGGAATCAAACCTGCAACTCTTTGGTCCTCCTCCCGACACTCTAACCAGTGAGTGAAACTGGCCAGGGCAGAATGAGATACCACTTTATAAAATATTTTGGGATATTTATACAGTTTTCTGAAGTACACACTGTGCAGGGCTTCCCAGACTTATGCATTTATAAGAATCACTTGGAGAGCTTATTAAAACAGTTTGCTGGACCCTACCCTTAGAGATTCTGATTCAGTAGATCTGTGATGGGGCTCAGTAATTTGCACTTTTGCCCAGCCAGTGTGGCTCACTGGTTAAGCATCGACCCATGCACCAAGAGCTTGCCAGTTCAATTCCCGGTCAGGGCACATGCTCAAGTTGTGGGCCCAATCCCCAGTGAGGGGCATGCAGGAGGCGGCCAATTGATGTTCTCTCTCATCGATGTTTCTATCTCTCTTTCCTTCTCCTTTCCTCTCTCTAAAAATTAATAAAGGAAAAAAAAAAAAAGAATCTGCACTTTTCACAAGCTCCCAACTGAGGCCAGTACTATCATTCAACACACCATAATGAGTAGCTTGGCACAGAGAAATCCTAGGAATGAAATATACCCACTTGTATTTCATGGTACTGAGTGAGATATAGGGAGATTTTGTTTTAAAGTTCTTCATATTTTCTTAGGTATTATTTATTTTTTTTAAATAACAAATGTTTAAATTTTATCCAAACGATAAAGATAATTATTCTTAAAATTAGAAGAAACATTAACCCATTTATATCTATAATTTGTACAAAAGCTTTATCTGAGATCTTTTTTTTTTTTTTTAATCCTCACTCGAGGACATTTTTCCATTTTTTGTTCAGATAGAGCGGGAGGAAGAGAGAGAGAGAGAGAGAAACATCGATGTGAAAGGACACATCTAGTGGCTGCCACCCACACAACCAACCAAGGCCGGGGACAAACTGCAACCGAGGTACACGCCCTTAGCGACAACCGAACCCAGGTCTCTCTGTACCGCAGGCCGACGCTCCAACCACTGTGCCAAACCAGCCAGGGCTTTATCTGAGATCTTTAATTTTGCTTTCTTTAATAAAATCATCTTTTTTAAACTCACCTAATCTCAAAGAAAAGTTGCAATTTTTCTAGTGTTATAATGAAAGAAACTGATATATGCTATTTCAAAAAGAGGCATATATTTTCCCATCTTTCTAGATATAAGTTAATTTAATATTTATGTATCATCAGTCAAACCTGTTGGAAATATATGAAAGGTATGGAAAATCTACATCATCCTGTACACACAGCACAATTCAATACTAGTTTGAAAATATGAGGACAATGTTATTATGTAATACTTCTAATAACCATTGAACCTTCAGTATATTACATACAATATTTCTTCTAAACAATTATGATTCTTTTAATTTCTTTTTTTAAATATGTTTTTATTGATTTTTTACAGTGAGAAGAAGGGAGAGATGGAAACATCAATGTGAGAGAGAAACATCAATCAACTGCCTCCTGCATGCCCCCTACTGGGGATCAAGCCCGCAAAGGAGGCATGTGCCCTGACCAGGAATGGAACCCAGACCTGTCAGTCCCTGGGACAGTGCTCAATCCACTGAGCCACACCAGCCAGGCCAATTATGATCCTTTTAATAAATTATTACCAAACATTACTTTAATATAGTCTTACGGCCCAATGCCATAGATCTAGATCAAAAAGAAATAATGGTATGCGCCAGACTTACTAAATGTTCTGTAAACTAGGAATAAAAATGTTACCTAAAAGTTATTTGGGAGCCCTGGCCAGTGTGGTTCAGTTGGTTGGAATGTCATCTGGTACACCTAAAGGTTGCCAGTTTGATTCCTGGCCAGGGCACATACCTAAGTTGCTGGTTCAATCTTGGGTCAGGGGAGTATGGGAGGTAACCAATGTTTCTCTTTCATATCAATGTTTTTCTCTCTCTCTCCCTTCCCCCTACCTTTAAAATCAAAATCAAAAACATTTTTTAAAAATTTATTTGTGTAAGAAGGAAACAAAAACCCACTGTCAGAAACAGATCGCCTTTGTGTAGCTTTCAACAGGGAAGTTTACATGTAATTCCATTCAAAGGTAAAAATTTCATGAATAGTCATTATTCACTCTATACCAGGAAAAAAGCCCAGTAGGCTTGCTTTAACTCTAAACCTTATAGCAGTACTTACCTCCCACCCCCATATTATTTAAGGTTAGTAGTAGAAAAATAAAATGCTAACAATAATTTAAAGGAATAAGTATTGCAGGAATTAGAGCCCAAAAGCCCTTAAATAACAATAAATGACCCTCTAAGAAAACTGGATTAGAAGGTAATCAGAAATAGATCTTGGTAGAGTATAACAAATCAAATATAAACTTAAAAGAAAACGCTCAATTTTTCCTAAATTTCCATATTTTTAACAATTTTTGTTTCTACCAAAACCCCTAAATTAATCAATAACACTTCGAATTCTATTATCAAGTTAAAAGCACTCAAAAGATCATGATTCATCTTCTGAAGAACATGACAACCCAGTATACTTCCTCTTTTAACCAAAAAGCATTTTGAATCTAAAGTAAAGCTTTAATACTCATTTTAGATATTTATCTAGTACATTTATTTAAAAATGTTTAAGAGCTATATTCTGGTTATTAATAATGTTGTTTCTTACCAGGATCTGCTAACCCTGTGGTCTCTAACAGTATGTAATCAAATTTCCCCTTCTTCTGCATCAAATTCTCAATAGCTCTAAGGCCATTATCCCTGGAGAATACCAAAGCATAATATTTAATATTAGCCTAAATATTTTAAAGCAATCATTACAAACATTTAAAAATATATATTCAGCAACCTGAGACAAAAATATCTTTAAGCATGTAAAAATTTAACTCACTCTCAAACTTCTAACAAAATGTCTATTCAATATTTACCAATCAGGGGAAAAAATAGATGCATATATACTGATAGATAAAAATAAATCAGATACATGATAAGTTAATACTTTAATTTTAGTAAAATTAAAAGCAGAGGAAAAATTTAATATACCTGACTATAAAGTAAGCCAGAATCTATTATTTTTATATCTTTTGAAAAAAAAATCAACATAAAAAAATTATAAAATTTATGAATTACAGTAGTTTAATAAAATAGCTAAAGGGATACTACTACTTTTAACTGTGTTTGAAATTAGAGTACCAGGTTTTAATTTCCCTTTTTCTTATAATAGCAAAAGTGCAAGAAAATAACTAATAAATTGCATTTTTGTTGTTTAAGAAAATATGTTATGACTTTAGCCTTGTTAATACATTTGACTCAAACACCTAACATAGTAAATAATATCGAAAAAATTTAATTCACTAGAATATACAAAACCTACTGGACAGATGTTAATTTTCCTAATTCACTCAACAAATATTTGAGTGACTGCTATGTGTCAGGTCCTTTTCTAAGATCTGTGGTATATTAGTGAATAGAACAGACAGTCCTTGGAAAGAACTATAACTGGTGGAACATAATAATGTGAAGATTTTCTCTCTCTCTCTCTTTTTTTTTTTTTTGGTACGTGCCCCTAGCAGGAACTGAACCCAGAACTCTCTGATCCGCAGGCTAATGCTCCAACTGCTGACCCAAACTGGCCAGGGCTATTTTTCCTTTTCTTAATAGACATTTAATTTTGTTTTTAGAGGTTGAAGTTTTGGAACTAAGATCAATGACTTATTAAACTTAGAACCATGTTTTACAGATAAAATAAGACTTTCATGCCACAAAGATTAAATAAACCCTGATATCAAAAATTAAAAAATAAATAAATAAAAAGACCAAAGTATTAGAGCATACAGAAAAAGAAAGAAGACAGCAAGAAATACTTTAAGAAAATGCATCCTGATAAGTCTGTTTTCTATCTGAAAACACAATAAAGCAGACGGTGAATTCAGTAAAATTACACAAGAAACTCAAAGCTGGAAATATAATCAGTACCCATTTATAGTAAATCAACAAGCACACAGTAAACATTTTCCTCACTTTACTGAACAGCAGAGGCAACCGTTTCTAAGTTCCAGCCATTCTTCGTAGAGCTCTCCACCTTGGCTCACTGCTAAGGATTTCTCCACTGCACTTCCTGAAACAATAAGAAGCACTCTTTAGATCATGTGTACTAGCAAACCAAAAATAAAACACTTAATAACAGAGCAAAATTCAAAGCAGAAAATGCATTTTATAACTTCTGTTCTTCCATTCTATTCATGCAGTCTATCTTAAACTATACTAACACTAGCTTATTTTAACTTACATTTCTTATGGAGGATTTAAGCCCCTAAGAAGACAAATCCACAATTAATGAATCATACCATACTTCCTCTTTAGGATTCTTCCCTGCCCATTCCAATTTCCTAATAAGGTAGCTATTTCACAGGCACTCTTTCTTATTTGTGGTCAACTTTATAGATAGTGTGTTTTATATATTAGTTTTCATATGCCTTTCAACCCCTTAAGGTCCTTATCTATATTTTTCTTTTCATTCTTCCTCTAAGTTGTTTTTGTTTCTATTAGACAGCCTATGCAGTATTCTCAGTATGAGTAAAATCCTTAGTTCATTTGAAGAAGTTTGTTTAGCCAGGGCATCAATGTGCTCACTTAAATATTAAGTTTTAGTCAAATATACGTAAGTTTCCTAACAATGCTTACTTAAGAAAAAATATACTTGAGATTCTTATATGCGTTTTATCATATAAGAATGATTTTAAATGTCTTATTTTTCCTCCAGTAAAGAAATATACCAAAGCCAGGAGACTTCTAAATGTCCAGTAAAGCAAACAGCCAAATAAAATTTTTTTTCATTTATTTTTTTGTTTATTTCGGATAGGTGATGACAAAGAGCTTTGAAAAGGGTTACTACAGAATTCAGGGTGAAGAGAAGAACATCTATAAAATGTGAAGGAAAGTATTATGAAGGCTGAAAAGAACAAATTGTGAAAATGACCCAGGAAGAATGAAGAGAAGTAGTAAGAAATAATAAATGCAATCAATTTCCCAAAGATCAGTTAATAAGAGGCTAGACAAAAAGACTGTGATTTAAAAATCTTAGGATTTTAATTTTGTTTAACAGGACTTTTCTCTTTAGTTTATGAAACCAGAAACCACATTTAATTAACGTGCTTCTCATCCTGTTCATAAAAACTAGCTCCTTTACTAATTTACAATAGAAAAAATAGTATACCTTAGTAAATATCCCACAGAAGTTATAGTTTGTGGCTAAAAGAGAGCCTTTATTAAATTTCACACTTAAGAAGAAAAACTTGTAACAGCAATCAAAGAACTGTGTCTTATACTGCTGTATAGATTTTTCAAAACTACAGTTCAGTATTAAAGACAAAAAAATTGGAATGTTTAATGGATGTATTTTCATTTAATCATCATTGAAATTTCTTGAGGATGGAGATCATATGTCCAACTTATTTTTTAAATCTTCAGTTTTAATTGCTTTGCAGATAAATATTCAACAAGAAAAACTTACAATAATTGAAGCATTTTCAAATTTTTCAAAAGTTGATATTAGACAATATAGTCAGTACCAAAGTACCTTTCTAGTTCCTGAAAGCACTTTCTTTCATATCACATATCACATATTTTTACTGTTAGAGTTATTTATTTCATGTAAAATTTTAATTTAATTCCATTGGTATGAATTCAAAAGTTACACAAAATAAAATTTTATAGAAAATATCTTATTTCAGTATTCCAAATCTGTCAAAAATAAAACTTCACAGAAATTAATCTAATTCTTCCCAAACTATCCATATCAATATATTCACATTATAATGCCTTGTGTTTTCATTTTCAAATATGGACTATCAAGTCACGAGTGAAATAAACTGTGCGACAAGTTCTTGCAACATAGCATTTATTTAACTTTGCTTACCTTCCCCAAATTCATTTAAAATAACTGCTACTCTTTTACTGTGTTGCTCTGTCAAAATATAGTTCAGAAGTGTTGTCTTCCCAGCACCTATAAAATATATTTTTAAATAATAAAATTTAAAAGACTAATTTTAAAGACACAAAAAAAGATATAGAGTCCCAATGGTTTTAAAAATGGACATGCTATTTTTGAAATATTATTTAACTAAGATTATTCTAGAGGAAGATTAAAGTACCTTTTGAAAAGTATAAAAAATGCTTTGCTGATACAATATTTTATAAGTACAACAGTCCTACAAGTTGGATCATACAGCTTTCTTTAACCTCATTATGACAAAAATAGTATGCCTTCTATATAACTTATACTACAATAACTACAAGGGCATCTAAAATTTCTATTAAATAAAAAAAAATATTAAAGTAATGCCTTCCGAAGAATAAAGAACTCATGTAGTTTATAAAATATTTAAATTATTTGCATGATAACAATGTTTCTTAGCCAGGAATATGCTATTTAATTCCCTAAAAGTTACATATAAAGACCTTTTACTTCAACATCCATCATTAACCAGACACAAATTCAAACTGACTATATGTCTACTTTTAGTATGCTTAAAGCAACCTATAAAACTTATACACACACACATATCAGTTACACATACACACAAAATAAAAATAGATGTGGAATGTTCAGTCTTAAAAAACATAAACTCGCCCTGGCTGGTTTGGCTCATCAGTTAGAGCACTGGCCTGCAGCCTGGAGAGACCTGGGTTCGGTTCCCGCTAAGGGCACGTACCTCGGTTGCAGTTTGTCCCTGCCCCTCGTTGGGTCGTGTGGGTGGCAACCACTCAATGTGTCCCTTTCACGTCGATGTTTCTCTCTCTCTCTTGCTCTCCCTCCAACAGTATCTGAAGAAAATATTGAAAAATGTCCTCGGGTGAGGATAAAAAAAAAAAGATAAACTCATAAAACTACACTAGCTTTATCCAGTAGGTGGCATATCAAACCTAATATGTTCAGCTTAAGTAGAAGAAAAACATTTGTCTTGTGAGCCATAGAAACCAAAGTTCATAGAAAAAAAAATCCCAACTGCACAGTAGTGTAGTTTGATTGTACAAATATATCATTTGTGTATCTATTTTTCTGTTGGTGGACAATTTGGGTTGTTTCCAGTGTTTTGCTATTACAAACACTTGTACACATCTTCTGAAGTGGATTTACAAGATTGCTAGGGTATAAGTATGAGGGATTTTTACTATTAGGGTATTAATATCTTCAACATTTCTAGGTTATATTCCTTTAAAAGCTGTTGAAGAGTAGAAGGCTTGTATTTAGAGTGCTCAGTGTAGGAAGCTCAACATCACTTAAGTGTGAAGTATAGAATGAAAAGGACAGACCTTAAGGAGGCAGTGCCATGAAGAACGTCTTAAAGCCCGTCCAAGTGTAAGACAGAGGCCCTGAACATGAGCGCTGCATTAGGCAGTAGCAGTAAACATGGAAAGGAAGGGGAGATCATTAAAGCTAAAATACACAGAATACATTAAAAGGCATCAAGACTCAAGACTAGTTAGGAAGTTTTGAGAGTATTCCAGGTGATTGGGATCACAGGAGCAGGAAGATTTAAGAGGATGATAACATGAAGTTTTGGACATGTTGAATATGAGACATCTGTGGGACATCAAAATAGAAACAATCTGGGTATGAAGTCCAAAGAATGGACAGAGGGGGAAATTTTTTTATAGGAGAAACCAGAAAAGTAGGTGGAAATATTGGAAGAAAAATGTGATGGAAGCCAAAGGAACAATGTTTCAAGAAAGAAAAAATTATAACCAGGAACAAGCAGTGAAACTATGCCCTAGATTCAACAACAAGGTTGCTGGCATGAGCCTCACTCACAAGTTTCAGACCATTATTTCCTATGTTCTACTGACCTACAAGTGAGCAAAATGGGGAAAACCAGAGGGGAAAGTCTGGACTATACTGTTTTGGACAAGGAATTTGTTCAATTTCTCAGAAGAGCTGTTTCTGAACAACAGTGTAAAAATACCAAACATAAATTCCGTTATAAAATTAGTCCTGAGTAAAAACAGTAATAAACTTACAGTCTACAAAGCAAAAAGGGAAAACACCAGTGATTTCATTCTTATTTTTTATGTAAAAGGACCTCAGGTGCACCAAGTTTGTATTTATCTACAGTAGTACCTAGGAATAGTATTATCTCCCCAAACTGCTTCACTGTTTTTACACTTAACTTTCCCCATACTTTTAATATGGTCATACATTTATTCTAGCCCTTCTATTTAACTGTAAGGCTTTAAAATAATACTTCTCAGACTTTTCCAATAAAGTACCTCTAGTGTAAGCACATAAACTGTCCTTCATGAAACTGTAGCATGTTCATAAACCTATGAATTCAAGTGTCCCTGTGCACTCCTGAACAACCTCAGTTTAAGAAATACAGTCTTGCCCTGGCCGGTTTGGCTCAGCGGTTGGAGCGTCGGCCTGCGGTACAGAGAGACCTGGGTTCGGTTCCCGCTAAGGGCATGTACCTCGGTTGCAGTTTGTCCCCGGCCCTGGTTGGTCGTGAGGGTGGCGGCCACTCGATGTGTCCCTTCACATCGATGTTTCTCTCTCTCTCTTCCTCTCTCTGCCTCCCGCTCTATATGAACAAAAAATGAAAAAATGTCCTCAGGTGAGGATAAAAAAATAAAAAAAAAGAAAAAGAAATACAGCCTTGCTTCAAGTCAAGATGATAGAGGAGGTAAATGTGGTCCTGCATCTGTATGTGGTGGATAAAAATTGGCAGGGATAACTGGGCAACAGAAGTCCCCCCTGAGGAGCAAGGGGTTCCAGCCTCATACCAGGCTCCCCAGCCCAAGGTTTTAGTATCAGGAAAAGAAGTTCCCATAACTTCTGGCTGTAAAAACCAGCAGAGATTGTAACTGAGTGAGACAGGGCTTCCTGAGTTCTAGGCAGTTCCTCTTAAAGGGCCTATGCAAGGACTTATTTGGACTTACTCGCTCTGAGCTCCAATGCTGGGGCAGCAGCTTGAAAGCCACCAGAGACATACAGGGAGGAACAGAATTGTCCAGCATCACGGTGAGTGCTGGAGGGGAAGCTTTCTCCCAGACAAAAGTGTTGGCAGAGGCCACTGTTCCTTTTCTGGGCCCTCCCCCAACAGTACCAGCAGGCAGGTGCCATATCTTAGTCTCCACCAATCTGCCTTACAACTATTCACCTAGCCATGGTGATTCCCTGAGACCCCACCCCACCCAACTTGCAAGCCCACGCAAGCTGTTTCCAGTGGTTTTTCCACAAATGGCCTATCTTGGCTCGTGCTGCTTCTCTCTCAAACAAGCAGCATCTGGTCTCAGGGTGTTCTATACCTCTCACTAAGTGGACCCAGGCCCAGCACTTGCAGCAGCCAACCTTGGTTTGCAGCAGGGCCTCTCCTAGGTACCTCCAAAGCCCAGCACAAGTAGCAACCATCTGAGATTGCTGTGTAGCTCAGCTCATGTTGGGTACCCCAAACAGGACAAAGATGGTGGCTGACCTTGGCCTGCACCTCCTGGAGGCTCCAGAGCTACTGCACCTGGTGGACCACTTCAGACCATGCTGGAGCACCACCCTACCACCTCCATAAATGAAATACTCAGGAGGCAGGCTCCGCAGGCACCAAAGTCCTGCTGAAGTAAGTCCTGCTCCATGGTGTGGGCCCCTGCAGAGCTGATCCTCCATGGTGGTTGCAGCCAGTCCTTGTAGCCAACTGGCATGCCAATAGTAATCAAGGCTCAAATACAATAGGAGAGTGTACACAGCCACAAGGGGCAGCATACCTGGAATATGCAACTTTGGTGATCAGGGAGGCTGTGCCACTGGACTCTATAGGACACCTACTACATTAGGCCATTCTCCCAAGCCCAAGTGATGCAGCAGCTCTACCAAATACACAGAAACAAACACAGGGAGGCTGCCAAAATGAGGACACAAAGAAACATGTCCCAAATGAGAGAACAGACAAAACTCCAAAAAGACCTAAACAAAATGGAAGCAAGCAATCTATTAGATGCAGAGTTCAAAACACTGGTTATAAGGATGCTCAATGAACTTAGTGAGAACTTCAAAAGCATAAAAAAAAGGATTAGTCAGAAGTGAAGGATACACTAACTGAAATGAAGAATAATGTATAGGGAATCAGTAGAGTAGATAAAGCCAAGATTCAAATCAGCAATTTGGAATATAAGGAAGCAAATAACACCCAATCAGAACAGCAAAAAGAAAAAGGAATCCAAAAAATGAGAATAGTGTAAGGAGTCTCTGGGACAACTTCAAACATACCAACATTTGTATCATGCGGGTGCTAGAAGGAGAAGAGAGCAAGAAACTGAAATCCTATGTAAAAAAAACAATAATAGTGGCCGGTTTGGCTCAGCAGTTAGAGCCTCAGCCTGCAGTCCAGAGAGAAACCGCGTTCGGTTCCCGCTAAGGGCACATACCTCGGATGCAGTTTGTCCCCGGCCCTGGTTGGGTTGTGCGGGAGGCAGCCACTCGATGTGTCTCTTTCACATCGATGTTTCTCTCTCTCTCCCCCTCCCACTCTAACTGAACAAAAAATGGAAAAATGACCTCGGGTGAGGATTAAATAAATAAATATAATATAATATAATATAATAATGACAGAAAACCACCCTAACATGAAGGAAATAGATATACAAGTCCAGGAAGCACAGAGAATCCCAAACAAGCGGCCCACACCAAGACACACCATAATTAAAATGTAAAAGGTTAAAGACAAAGAGAGAAGCTTAAAAGTAGCAAGAAAAAAGCAGTTAGTTGCCTACAAAGGAGTTCCCATAACAATGTCTGCTGATTTCCCAACAGAAACTTTGCAGGCCAGAAGGGGTTGGTGAGAAATATTTAAAGTGATGAAAAGCAAGGCCCTACAACCAAGATTACTCTACCCAGCAAGGCTATGAAAGCTATCATTTAGAGTCAAAGGACATATAAAGAGCTTCCCAGACAAGAAAAAGCTAAAGAAGTCATCCAGTATTAATTGAAATGTTAAAGGGTCTTCTTTAAGAAGAAAACAAAAAATATAAACCACAAGATGGCAATAAATGCTTATCTGTCAACAATTGAGTCTAAAAAAATTTAAAACAAACAGAACAAAAACAGCCTTATAGATATGGGGGGTGGGGGGTTGTTGAAAAAAGGTGAAGGGGCCCTGGCCAGTTTGGCTCAGCAGTTAGATTGTCAGCCTTCGGATGGAAGAGTCGCAGGTTTGGTTCCCAGTCAAAGCAACATACCTGGGTTTCAGGTTCGATCCCTGGCCCCTAATTGTGGTCATGTGGAAAGCAACAAATCGATGTCTCTCTGTCTCTCTGTCTCTCTCTCTCTCCATCCCTTCCATTCTAAAAGTCATTGGAAAAATATCCTTGGGTGAGGATTAACAACAACAACAAAAAGGTGAAGGGTTTAAGAAGTACAAATTAGTTGTTACAGAATAGTCATGGGATGTAAAGTACAGCATAGGGGATATAATCAATAATATTCTAATAACTGTGTATGGTGTCAGATGGGTACGAGATTTATCAAGATGATCACTTAGTTAAGTTACATAATGTCTGATCATTGGGGTATACACCTGAAACTAATACAATCCTGTGTGACAACTGTAACCGAAAAATGAAAAAGAGCCCTGGCCGGTTTGGCTCAGCGGTCACAGCGTCAGCCCTGGGACTGACAGGTCACAGGCACCATTCCGGTCAAGGGCACTACCTCCACTGCGTTTGAACCCCGCCCTGGTCTGGTCGTGTGGGAGGCAACCAGTGGATGTGTCTCTCTCTCACTCTCTCTGCCTCTCTCCCTCCCACTCTTTCTGAACAAAAATGGACAAATGTCCTGTGTGAGGATTAAAAAATAAAAAAGATTAAAAAGCAAAAAAAATGTCTTGGAGAGCAGAGACTTTATTCTTACTCTTTCTCCTACAGTGCTTTATACACAGACCTGAAAAATAAAAATACAAAAGTCTGAGATATGCGCTATTTCCAGGTATGGCTGGAGGAGGTGGCCTGTGGGGCAGGGAATTCACTGAGGCATGCCTCTTCTTGTGCCCGCATTTTACGGACAGGACACCCTTTAACGGCAATAGGCTTATAAGGTCGACATTTCCGGTCTCGTTTTGCAGATGAGAAACTCAGGTGACCGGTACTGTCTGCATTTTCAAGGAGGCAGATAAGCTTCAGAAAGGTAAGGTAATTTGGGCACTAGCCTAGTTTGGGTGCGGGTCCGGGCTTCCGACCGCAAAATCAGAACTAGTATCAAAATGCGAGGTTCGAGTTCAATGTCCCTTGATAAATGTGACTCTAACGCTGAGGGGTCTGGTCATCATGAACCACCCAATGGGGAGCAAGTGGCCCAGCCCGTACCTCACAGACATTTGCTGTAGGCCAGACGCCAGGCCTACGGAGAAGAGGCACCGTCAGCCCCCAAATCCCAGGATAGCAGCGTTTCCAACCTTCTCTGACCGGGATGGTTAGTTACCTAAATACCCGGTGATAATTGTGACTGGGATCTTAGCGCCGAGGCCAGACTTTTCCTCCTCCTCTCTTTGCTTCGTCGCAATGGGGACCAATTCAGGACAATCCTCCTCTGCCGGCTCCTCTTGCTCGTTGACAGCGCCGAAGGCCTGTGACATCGCGGCCGACAGCACGCACGCCTCTCCCTCAGTTCGGGAGCTGGGACGAGCCCGCCCAACAGCAGCTGCGCACGCCCAGCACGCAGGCGCGGCGTCACGTCATCACGCCGCGACGCGTGGCTCCTCCGAGACCCGCCCCTGTTACCTGGGCTCCCTTTGGGGACCACCTCGCCGCTTAGACACGCCCTGAGCGTGTTCTCGGAACCTGAAAGCGGCGGGGCGGTCTTGCTGGGCCTGTAGGTTCGTCCTGCTCCGACCCTGCCGCTGTGTGCGCCGCAGCCTTCATAGCTAATGGCTGATGGCAGGGCTGGGGCCCGGCCGGCTGGAACCTGGAGCGGGCAGCCTGACCTGAACAGTTCCCACAGGGCATAGACTTTATCAACTTGACACTTTTTAGTGTCATCAAATACAATTTCTTTATTCATGGGGGAGAAGGGGAATAGGAGGCTATAACAATAAAATGTTAATTATAAATTTTCTACCTGTAGAAATAACCAGTGAAACCTTTTTTCTTTTTTATAGTTATATATGTTATATGGTTATCTACATTTTTACCATGTACACCCATTACTTTCATTATTACTGTCCCTATTTGTTTGAACCTTAGGTAACCTGAGTTCATTTACTATGCTCTTTGGTTCGTGACACTCTCTCATCATTAATCCATGGATAACCCTCCTTTGTATTTGCATATTTATAATGAACTCCTTTGCCCTCACCCCTAACCCAAGAACGTTACCATAAATTACAGGTACCTGTACACCCCTCTGCTATTTCAGCCCCTGTGTTCAGTCAAGGTGATCAGCAAGCACTGCTGTAACAGTATATAGCCTCAGTCAGAGCAAAAAGTTTTACCCAGTGGTCAAAAATTAAAGACACCCCAATTGTCCATCACATGATAAATGGATAAACAAAATGTGGTATATCCATACAATGGGAGATTAGCTTACAATAAACATGAGTAAAGTGCTGATATCTGCTACAAGATTAATGAAACTCAAAAGCACTATGCTGAGTGAAAGAAGGCATTCACACAGCACCACGTGTTGTATGATTCCATTTATATGAAATGCCCAGAATAGGCAAATCAATAGAAATAGAAAATAGATTGTTACCAGGGACTGGTGGGACTGAGGGGAGTGGCTGCTAATGGGTACATTTTGGGGTGATGCATATGTTTTAAAATTGATTGTGGTGATGGCAACACAACTCTGAATATACTAAAAACAAGTGAATTGTACACCTTAAGTAGGTGTATAATATGCTCTATGAATTGTATCTCAATAAATCTGCTATTTAAAAAAAAGTTAAAGGTCTCGCCAGTGTGGCTCAGTGGTTGAGCATTGACCCATGCACCAAGAGGTCGCCAGTTTGATTTCCAGTCAGGACACATGCCCAGGTTGTGGCCCCAATCCCCAGTGGGGAGCATGCAGGAGGTGACCAATTGATGTTATCTCTCACTGATGTTTCTCTCTCTCTCACTTCCTCTCTCTCTAAAATCAATAAAGGAAAAAAAAGTTAAAGGCTCATTTATGCATCAAAATGTGGTGGTGCCAGTGTGAATTTTCAGAGAAGCACTGACTTCAGGTCCTGCCCCCAGAAGTTTTAAGTCCTGGCCTTCTGAGCAGAGTTGAGTTAGAACCTATTTGTGGTGATTTTCCAATTGAGCCATACCCAAGTACGAGTATAAAGATCACAGCTCAATAAAATCTTTCCTTTCCTCTATTTCCATAATACTCGTCATCAAATTATCTATCTATGAATTTTGTGGAGTTCTGTCATTTTCTTTGCTGACTCTAGTAATTGGGCGGAATTTAGCAAGCATGTGTCTGAAGAGGTCAGGGTTAGGATTTATTCAGATATATGGCTTGGAATCTCAGCTTTTCCTGCACATCTGGGTATGATTGTTTTTACTTCTGTTGTAACACTGGACTCACCAATTTTATCCATTTTATTTTGAGTGAGTCTTTGTTGTTATTTAATCAAAAATGCCTTTTAAAATAACTTTTTAAATGTCCTATGTATAATAGTGTAGAATCTATTACAGTTTCTAATATAACTTAAAAGTTTTCTTAGGTTTGTAATTTTGTTCAGTCTCAGTGCTTTATGGTAAAACAACAATAATGTGTGGAACTCTTACCATCTGATAGGCATTATGTTAAGCACATGAAATGCATTATCTCATTTAACTCTGCAACATGAATATTATTTGATGACCATTTTAAAGACAGGAAACTGAAGCTTAAATCACTTACTATTGCAACAAAGACCTTGCTCAAGGTCATACAACCAGTAAATGGCAGCTCTGGAGATCAATCCAGGTCCTCCAAACACTAATTTCCATGCTCTTCTAAGCCAGAGATCTGCAGGCTTTTTCTGTAAAGGGTCAGGTAGTAAATATTTTAGGCTTCTCAGGTCAATAAACAAATTCAAGGATATTATGTAAGTACTTATACAATAAGAGAGAAAACAAATTTCTACAAACTTTGAATTTTGAATTTCATATAATTTCCATATGTAATGAAATATTATTCTTTTAATTTTTTCGACCTATTAAAAATGTAAAAAAAAATTTTTTTAAGGTAAAAATCATTCTTAGCTTCAGACTGACAAACCTCAGAGGAGGTAGGCGGGGTTGGGGGAAATAAACCAAAGAAGTTATATGCATATATGCATAACCAATGAGCATAAACAACAAATTCTGTAAGTGGAGGGTAGAAGCAGGAGGAGGGTGTCAATGGGAGAATAAGGAGAAACATCTGTAACAAAAATAAATTAATTAATAAAAAACAAAATGATCCTTAGCTTGCAGTGTGTGCGAATAGAGGCAGTGAGCCCTAGTATGCCAACTACTGATCTAAGCTAATATGCACTGCCTTGATAAACTGAATAAAATGAAACTGCAAAATACGTCATCCTTGCTATTTTAAACTTAGTTGGTTAAATCATTCACCAATGCAACAACCACCTGCCCTTAAAAGGTTAGGTACCATAGTTACACTATATAATAATTTGGAGGGTCTAGCCAAGTGTGGGTCAGTGGTTGAGCATTGCCCCACGCACCAAGAGGTTGCCTGTTAGATTCCCGGTCAGGACACATGCCCAGGTTGTGGGCCAAATCCCCAGTATGGGGCATGCAGGAGGCGGCCAATCGATGTTCTCTCTCATGGGTGTTTCTATCTCTCTCTCCCTCTCCCTTCCTCTCTCTCTCTAAAATCAAAAAAGAAAAAAAAAACTTTTTTTAAAAATAATAATAATTTGGAGGAAGGTCTGAAGCTGAAAAGCTTAAACTATTTCTCCAAGGGCACTGATTCCTGACCCTGGAGAGACCAATTTGGCAGCATTTGAGTTTTTGCACTGTGGTAGGAGCCCCTCCTGAGTTGGAGCAGAGCAGAGCCAAACAGCTCTCAAGCTATCTGGATTCCTTTCGCTCAGCTTCCTGCCAATAATCCTGCCATAGTCCTTTGGCACAATTCCCTGCTCCTCCCCTTTGCCTCATTTTCTTCCTTTGATAGTAATGACAGTTGCCATGAGAAAAAAGTGAGGACTGTAGCTATATCCAAATCAGAGGAGAGCTAAAAATAATGCCAACTTGGTTTTGTTTTTTTCTCTCTCAATTTTGCAACTTCCTGCAAAGAATACACTGGTGTCCAGCAATAGCTTTTGGTTTAGAGGAAAGGAAATGGAGGGTTTCAAAATGAACTCTGTTCCTCTTATGTAGCTATAGTTCATAAATAAATCAATAAATAAACAAAATATTTCTTAAACGCTTAATACTTATAGATTAATTTGCTATTTTCATGACATGCACATGAACTTAGTGAGAACATCTCTGAAAAGCCAGAGGCCAATGGCTTTTATTTTTGTGACTGCTTTAAATACTATATCAATATTCAAGTATCATAGAGTCCTCTGTTAAGATATAAAACCAGTGTAAAAACATAAAATAATAATTGTTTTTAGAAAGTGTGACTTTCATTTCAAAGGCTGTCAGTAATATTATTTAAATTCATTGTCTTCATCTTAAGCTGTTAAACTATGCTATTAATAAGGCTCAGCTCACAGTCCAGTCACTTATAAATCAGTTTCCCACAATTCTTTTAAATGTTTTACCCAATGGTCTGTAATTAAAGGCACCCCAATTGTCCATCACATGGTGAATGGATAAACAAAATGAGGGGTGTATTATTCACTCTAAAATATACTATCAGGCAAGGCGTGGGCATTGAGCAAAACTAAAAAAAAAAATGTTGTGCAATGATTTCTGTTGTAATAGTTTAGGAGACATTTTAAATAATATCCTCTTCTATTGTCAATAAAAATTTAAAAGTGACATTTGTGGCTTTAAGTTTCACTTTCTAACTCTTCTAGTTTTAGAGAAGTGTATGCCAAAATCCATAGGCATCTGCTCATGATTTCTTTTGTTGTTGTTGTTGTTAATCCTCACGCAAAGATATTGTTTCCACTGATTTTTTAGAGATCGTGTGTTGGGGTGGGGGTGGTTAGGAATTAATTGGTTGCCTCCCACACATGCCCCGTCCTGGGCCAGGGATCAAACCTGAAACCTGGGAAATGTCCTTGGCCAGGAATCTAATGGTGCACAGGCCAATGTTCTAACCACTTAGCACACTGTCCAGAGCTGCTCATGATTTCTTAAGTGTAAATAAAAGACACAGAAACAAAAATTAAATAACTCCATTTTTCTTCCTCTTGCTATTCCTCCAAATCCCTTCAAAGAATGCTAGGTGCTCTTAACTGAAATACTGTGCTATCAGCAAAGCCAGGTCTTCTTGGTTTCAAGACTGGTGTCTTTTTTTTTTTTTTTGCATCTATCTTCAGATAGAGTGAGAGGGAGAGAGTGGGGGAAGAGCGAGAGAGGGAAAAAAACATTGATGTGAAAGAGACACATCGACTAGTTGCCATCCACATGACCCCAACTGCTGGGGACAAACCGCAACCGAGGTACGGGCCCCTAGCGGGAACTGAGCCTTGGACTCTCTGGTCCACAGGCTGATACTCTAACCGCTGAGCCAGACTGGCCAGG